GGCCCTCTGTTTTACTTGAAGGTCGTATGCTTTATGAGTTCTCATGGGCCCATGAGCTGATTTTGATACGAAAAACAGCCGTAACTTTCGACTATTTGACCAGGATGGCTACTTTTTTTCAATTTCCCTGTAAGTCACGATATTCTTACCGTGGTCGCGACTGAATCGTAAACTCGCGATGCAATCAAGCAAGACTTATGCCGCGATCACTTTTCCTCACTGTTACTATTATTCCTTTGTTTTTCTCATAATTAAAATTTCCAATTAAGTCAAGATCAGGTCTAACATTTCCCGACTTGACTACGATGAGTAATTGCTGAGATACGACAAAACTTCAAAGATTTTTTGAAATCAGTAGGAATTATATACTTTGAGTCTGTGTACAACAGAACGGTGAATCGAATTGTCACGAGCGTCCCGCCCCGACTTTGTTTAATATCGTTGCTGTATTAAAAAAATAGCGCAACCGCAGTACGATTTTAAAACTTTGCTAAAAAAACTATCTTGACCAGAGTCGCTATAGCGAGTCAAGGCGCGATTTCGCGATCGCTGTAGAAAAAAATTGTCGCGTCGCGATCGCCAATTCCAAATTTTTTGAAAAATAAGAGCCGCACCACGAGAATAGCGAATTTTTGACGATCGCGGTACACGCCGCGAATAAAGCAAGAAAGTCGACTTGGGATCGCCAAGAANCTGGTATATCAGTATTGTAACGATGAATTTGATTATTATTGCAAATTTCACTATTAGTAGACGGTGTACTAAACCGTTGTTGTCGTCTTACGTATTGTGCAATGCTATTACGTCTTCTTATTGCAATCGCCGCGAATAAAGCAAGAAAGTCGACTTGGGATCGCCAAGAAATTTAATTTTTCGATCACGTCGCTCTTTATAGTCCCTGAAAACATTTTTTCCTCTTTTGTTTGCTCTACGATGTTAAAAATATTAGCTCTTACGGATGTAAGAAAAGCTGAGTCGTTTTTTCACTGTTGCACCACCTATAAATCTAAAATAATTAAAGTTGGAGTGACATATGCAATAGAAATGTTTGATATCTCATGAAGATCTATAAATGCTAAAAGAAGCCGTTCATTAGAAGTCCTAGAAGAGCAGTTGTCTTTAAAGTAAGGAAGCCTTGCAATTGAAATCGGATATTCCAGTGCCTCTTTTCATTAGAATAGTATAATACTTCTGTTGTTTTAGTGACGCCTATTGGCGAAAATCAAATATTTAAAAAAATTGTCCATGTTTATACATACATTCCCGTCGTTTACATGATACCATTCATTATGTTAATTATTATCAATTTTTTAACGATTAAATTCTTATATAATTTTCATTATAAACGTCAACTCCATTTGAAAACTCGAGCAGCGAAACATGACATTCGCATAACGTTGATGCTTATTGGCGTTGTATTATTATTTTTTATTTGTCGTTTTCCTAGTTTAATTAATCATATATATGAAGTTAGTCATTCAATTACCGAAGATGATAATGAAATAAATAATAACACATCTACATGTCGTACACGAAGAAAAGTATTTAATACTATTGTTAATTTTCTTCAAACTGTAAATGCATCAGCTAATCTAATATTTTATTTGGTATTTGGTAAAACATTTCGCGAAACGTCATCGAAATTAGCTTATTCAGTGCGTACGATTGCAATAAGAAGACGTAATAGCATTGCACAATACGTAAGACGACAACAACGGTTTAGTACACCGTCTACTAATAGTGAAATTTGCAATAATAATCAAATTCATCGTTACAATACTGATATACCAGTTATAGACTTTTATTCAAATCGAAAACATCAACTTACTATGAAAAACAAATCGGACATACAAACTACTTTAATATTACCAAGAAAAGCCAAAATAAGACGTTCGACGATAGACAACGCCCTACTTAGTCATGAAGAAGTATTCGTTCCAAATTCCCTTTACACACACACTTTTTCTTCTTCTGATATTTCTAAATAAATGCTGCACCAAACTTTTATTGGTACAAAACCTGACTGAGTTTTTTTTTGCTTCGAGATCGCTTTTTATGTGATGACAACAATGTTTCAATATTTTTAGGCAATAACAATCTTTTAGGAATTTTTTTAATCGAAACGAGTAAATTCTCATACAAAAAAGACAACATATAAAAAAAGAAATTATAAAAAAAGAAGAAACATTGAAATTTATTAATATAAAAATAAATAAATGGACGGAAATTCACCGAAAAGCTCGAGTAATGGATAAAAAGTTTATCTTTTCTATAATTCACTAAAATATTTTGCGATGTATAATTATCAAAAATAATACGCATGGCAAGAAGATTAGCAAGGAAAACAAAAAATATAAAAAATAACGATTAGAAAAATACTCTGTGCAATAAATAATAAAATGGAGTGAGACGAGAGATTAGCAGTCAGATATTTCTCTTTTAAAAATTTGGATAAGAGAGTAGAGTTAATGTATGGATGTGTTATTGTACGTTGATAATAACTTCATTAAATCATCTTGATTGGTCAACTGTGTTTTAAATTTTTGCATCAATGTTACTAGTTCTTGAATAATTGAATCTTTTTCACGTAAAGCCTTTGTTTTTACTTCTAATCGTGCGAGCATATCAGAGCAGTTTGCACATGACTAAAAAGTCAAAAATAAACATAACAAAGATTTTCTGCTGAATAAATCTGCAGTAGCAAAATAGCAAAGAGAGATGACATCTTAGATTAACGAATTTCAACTATAGAACTTGGAAATGTTTGTTTGTTCCTTCGTTTACTAGCGTACTCCTTTCTTATTTTGATAGCTCAACAATTTATGTTTAATTAATTCATATTCTTCATGGGTACGCTTCAATTCTTTTGTCAACACTTCTATTTGGGCTTGACGTTCCCTAAAATAATGAAACAAATAAAAAAGAAATAGTTAAATCATTTCAATTTTTAAGTATTATCTATCACTCACCATGAATTGTCTTTTAATGAATCGGCAATTTGTTTTTTCAAAAATTCAATCTTATCATCACGTTGTTTCAATTCTTTGGCGTGTTCCTGTCGCATCTGTTTTAATTGTCGTTCGTACTAAAATAACATTATCGTAAGATTTAGAAGAATTCAGTTTATTAAATGATGCAAGATAATACTCACATGCTCACGTAATGCTTCGACTTCTTCATTCGATTGTGCAGCATTTTTTTGTGCCATTTCCAAACGATTAATTTCTGCCTTCAACTGTTCATTTTCATCAAGTAGTTGAGTATTTGCCAATTTAAAATCATCAACTTGTTTTTGATAGGTAAGCTCCTGTGACAAAAAATTACTAATGCATAGAAAATATACCATAGAATACACGGAATAATACCGTTTTCTTCAAATCTTCATTTTCTTTCGTTAATTCGGCTATTTTTTTATCTTTCGTTCGTATTTGCTTTTGCAAGTCAATAATTTCTTTTTCTAATTCTTCAATTTTTCGTTTTAATCGACGAATTTCATCCTAGAATTAAACATGAGAAACGTCAATGTTTACTAGAAAATATCTTTTATCGGTCAATTATACTTCTAAATTAACAATTTTCGTTCGCATTGTTTCTGTTTCATCATTCTTTACTGGTTGTTTATTTGTGTTTTGTTCAGTTTTTGTTAGTGATAGTTTCGGCTTTTGTTGTATAGGTGTAACAATACTGGAGCGATAGGATACATGTCGTTGCTGTAATTGTTCATGAGACGAACGTCGCTCAAGTGACTTTGTTACTTCTTTTGGTGGTGGTACACGCATAAAACTACCTTGTATTTCTAAGTTACTTGGAGAAACTGACATAGTGTGTTCGAATAGCGATAATATCTAAAAAAATCCAAAATACGGTGAAACACATAGACATATTATGGTCTCTATAACTTGACTAATAGTAGACATCACTCTGACTGCTGTATAGCAGGCAAGCTTTAACATAATGACGATGTATATTTTACTTTATTGAATTCAAACACTCTCTTTTTAAAACAAACGGATGTATTTGAACTGTACATGAACAGCATAAAAAGGCGATTGTAAAAGAAATACAAACAAATAAATACTGATAATACACATAAAACCCTAGTGCTAAGCACTAATTGTGATACGGTGCATAAGTCGCGCAACTGAACACAATGTTTTCTAATATCGAATATTAAATCAGTAATATCTTCTCGTATACAGAAAATTGCGTAATTGAAAGATGAAGAAAATGATGATTTATGAATGAGAAACATATGGATCTAATAACTAACTATTTCTTGTATTGTATACATAAATCGAATGAACATGAAGTTACTCCATCAGAACAATTATTTTGTAAATAAAATATGAAATTTTTTTAAAATTCATTTAACTTTTGAAATGACAAATACATGACATTTTTCTGATAAGTCAAACAGAGAGAATTTCACTTTTGACGCTATCCATAAATTAGTTTTGGAAGAGAAAAAATCCGATTATAAAATTTTGAGAGATGTGAGCGAAAAAATCGACAATAAAATGTACTAAAAAGCACATGATTGATTAACATAATGCGGTTAACACTTACACACTAAACATGTAAGAAATTTATATCTGATACGATACGGAGACACACATGCACAACGAACTCTTTGGCTATCGACGACTAGTACAAGCAAAGTGAAAGAGCAAAAAAAAGAGTTGCTGTTTATTTTTTTGACGCTGACGATAATGCTGGCGTTGTTGCTTGAAATACATTACTCGCGGCCATTAAATTTTCAATATATTGACCGAGTACTTGATTTTCTGAGCGTAGTTTAAGATTTTCTTCTTTGACTGAATCAACTCGTTTTGACAGATCATCTAATGTTTTTTGTAATACTAGTACTTGTGATATAAACTGTAATTTTTCTTCTTCTTCTTCAGAATTATAATTGTAATCATAACTTTGTCGTGAATGTGTGGAAAGTGAATCGCCACCATCACTTTCGCTTTCAATTAGCCCATTGTTGATTGTAGCAGAATTTTCAGTATTTTCACGTATACGTGACATAACTGCAGCAAACAATCTAGGAAATAAACAAAAGAGAAGATAACGTAATAAAATTTGTTTCTTAGTTAGTATCTTCATAAATTGTGAGAATATCACAATAGCAAAACGGCAGCTAGCTAAAAGTTGTTTTTTCTATTCTCTCTCAGTATTACAAATTTGAGTGAAAAGGAATTAAGAACACTCTTATTGAATAAACTTTCGTAAAAACAATCACGTGAGCACCTTGCTACTAAAACGAGTGCTTTTTAACATTGTACATTGAACAGAAGATTGAGATTTTCAGTCCTCATAAGTCTGGATATAACTGACTTCAATTTGATTAAGATAGAGTTCAGCTAATACTCAAGCAGCCATTTTTTATGAACTCCAATATAAACATACATATTGAAGTGTCGCTGATGAACGCATGAACACCTATGTTTCTTTCCATTTATCTGCTGAATAGTCAACACCGACAGTAACGACATGTTGCAGTTTACCTACCGGTCATGATATAACACTATTTGTTCGTGTTCATTGCTATGATTTCACACGGAAGCCCAAAGTCCATGAAAGATTTAAGATTGAATGAATAATCATATTTGTTAAGGTTTTACCATAGTAATGGAAAATGTTAATGGAGATGGAAGATGCGAACGATAGTGTTTTATTCAATCTGAAAAAGTTTCTTGTAATTCAGTATCGTTCTGAGAGAAAGGTATAATAGCTTAATTTTGGCCATATACGAAAGTAAGCTGGTAATAGAATTTGTATAACGCTGAAAGTTTAATACATAATGTATTAAACCTTCATATGTATTATATATATGTGAGCTACTGTGCGTTACAAAAATCCGTATGTTTCTTCTTCCTTTTTCGGAAACGACGATTAAACATGTTTCAGTTTTGCTCTACATCGGGTTTTAGGAGTATCTCTGTCTACGTCACAATTATTACTTTAAATAGTATGAGCCAGACTCGTCAAAAATCAGCGAAAAAAACCCGCGAGACGGTCTCCCGCGGATCCTGTGGGAGTTTTTAACTTTAGAAACACGTTTTTGTTTATTTTCCATTTTTAAGGTAGCGTTGTGTATTCCATCTGTTTGCTCAGATTAAAGCTGAGGCTAGGTAATCACCGATACCTAAAGTTCTTGATTCAACTCTCATCAATCAAAAACTTATCAGAGCATATGTAGCTGATATCCGTTCTGGTAGTAGCCGGTGCTTGATTAGTTTAGTAACGCTTGAGACTTGCACCAATTCTCATCAAAAATAGGAAATAGTGCGTCTTCAATCTAGGCTCTAGCGACGTACCCAACATAGGGTCGGGAGTTGGCCATGGTCTACCTGTAGAAAATTATTTCATCCTATTTCTCATGGAAAATTGTTTTTTGAGTCATAGGATGAGCACAGAGTAGTTAAAGAGTAAAAAACAGCGAACATCAAATATTGTTGATACATTAAAAGTATTATTCCAGAAAGTTGACTGGGGCTTATAAAAAAAGAAAAGAATCATGTTAAGCTTATTATGAATTTATCAATCAATTTTAGGCATTCGTCGAACTTGATTAGATTAGACATTCATCCCAACACTAATGGCTAAAGTAGTTACTAGACCGCAGCGATTTACCCCAGAAGAATGGCGTTTGGCTAGTAACGTAAAACATAAAAATACCGAAAGAGATCGATCTGTTACCGAGAAGCTTATTTTGGAAAGTGACAGATTGGATAATGAAGGTCGTGGAACACTTGATCGAACGCTTGCTGATGTCAATAAAAAATTAGGTTAATATTTAAAATTGTGCTATTATTATTTATTATTTTTTATATTTTGAATATTTAACTCTTTAGATCAACGACTTGATCATGTTAAAAATTGGAAAGGAGAACTTGAAGTTAAACGTACAGATTTAGTCAAAGAAATTGATGCTACAGAAGTCTATTTAGTTCGTCTACAAAAAGAATTACAATCGTTACAAGATAATTTACATATTGCTCAAACATCTCTTGCAAATCGGTTTGTAGATTTGTGATAATGATCTTTTCACTTGAATACATTTGCTATTTTTATTTTTTAGTGAAAAACGTTTTGATATTGATCTTGTTCATGACGATGTTCAAAAAGATTTAATTATGGAAGTGACTGCTGTTCAAGGAGCTATTGCGTTATTAACAAGAACAATCGAACAAACAGAAGAACAACTACGGTATGTATCTACTTTTAATTAGAAAACTATTTTACCCATCAATCACTCTCATTGCATTAATTTTAAAAATGTTTATTGGGTATTGTCAGATTTCCTCTTTGTTCGATGATAACTTGAGCATACAACAAACTAGAAAATGAGAGTTTCGTATCTGATTATCAGATAAGCTGAAACTTTGTTATTATTCTACTTAATATCGCACGAGAAATCATCTCTATTCGTTCTTTTTTCAAATAGTTAAAGTAACAGATATCATCACTTACTTATCAAAACAAGTGTAGATTATGTTAACCACTTCTATGTAGAGAAAACAATGAGATATTTTTGAACAAATGTTGATATCAATAATATGTTATCAATATTGGTAGTGTTAAACAAGGAGTTGCGCGTCAATCAATATCTTATTATCCAATAAATAATTGTTAGACTATCTTTCTACATCATCTCCTCGGACATTTTAAAAAAAGAAATTAGAAATGCCATTTGTTCACACATTTATCTAATCACAATGGGAGTTTAGTTATAGTAAACAAATGAATACATATTCTAAATGTATATACAAAAAATTTCTTCTTCTTTTTTTTGACATTTTACAATGAAGAATGTTAACATGCCTTTGGCAATTGAATTGAACTGAGACATACTGTTGTGTAAGAGAAATTATTGAAAGAAATATTTTAGTTGTGAGTTTTTCTTTTTTACAGGAAAATTATATATAAGTGTTGTAGATGATTGTGACTTGAAAACATGGGAATAGTTGTCACACTTTGTTTTTATACATAAAATATGTTAAGGACATGCTTTATAATTTGAAGTTTTTAAAGAAATTTATACATTAATACTCAGATTTACAAAATAGAAATATGAAGAATCAAATCTTTTATTTAGACTGACTTTTAGAGAGCAATAAAAAAAGGATAGAGTTAACTATCTTTTCTTTTGTTTCATACGTAGTCGACGTTCTCTTAATACTTCAGTTATTTGTTCAACACTCAGTTTCTCTTTTTCTTTTGAATATATTGATGATTGTGTAGTCGCACTTAGTAGACTTGGATTTCGTTCTGTCGACATTTGTATCATAGTTGTTGAATTGGTTGCGGATGTTAAATGTCGTTTTATTGGTACGGGGGGTACAAGTAATTTTGGTGCATTTTTCATTGTATCTACAGTTGATGTTGTTGTTTCATCTGTTTTTAAACTTGGTAATAAATATTTATTTGAATCTTGACTAGATGATCGTCTACGTTGTGGTTGTGGTTGTGATTGTGGTTGTGGTTTTCCTTGGAAACTAGCAGCAAATTTTGGATCACTCATAACAGGTAAAAATAGTAATTTACCCAAACTTAACAGTCCTTTATCAGGACCCAATGTTGACATCATTTTTGCTAAACCTTCGAGTACGGCTGGTTGTGATGCTTTTCTTGCATAACTATAAAATAATTCTTCTATTACTTGTGTAACAACATAATCCGATGTATTTGTTTCTAATAGACGAAGTACAAATATACCATCACATTTTAAATAATTACGAGCAAAATCTTTATGTGAATCATCACGATAGAGTAATGAATTTTCATCAATTTTTGGTTCATTTGTTGACGTCGTTTTTCTTAAATATCGTACTAATATTAATTTTAAACGAGTAGTAACATATTTAATACGAATAGGTGCTATAAAATGATATGACCAAGTTAATAATGAGATTATATTGAGAATAACAATCATTGTATACCAAAAAAATAAAAATGTAAATAATTGCTCAAATAAAAGATTATTTGGTAATACACATTCAACGGTATAACGATGAGAATTCCATAAATGATTTGGTTCACGTACACTAAAAACAACAAACTAAATAAAAATTCGCCAAAATAATTGGAGAAAGGTTTGAAGTTTCAAATTTTGTTGAAAACACATGGATATTCTTCATTGCGGTAGTTTTGTTTATGTTTTTCAAAATTTCTCTAATGTATACGATCATCAGTTTAGAACCCATAACATTTTGTTGTGTTATGTTTTTTTTTTTCTTTTTTGTTTTGTTTTTACTTACCATCTGCCTGATGGACTTACCAGACAGTTGTTCTTCACGCATGTATGCTTAATAGATATTAATTATATTACTAAAGATAGAGAACTTTGATTTTGTTAATTCTATTAATTTTTTCTTACTATTTTATCTTATTCTCAATAGACAAACTGTTTATAATTCTCCTCCAAATCAAGGTTAACCATTTGGTTTGGCATTTTAAACATAAAAAAAAAAATTATATATCTAATTACTTTACCTGAAATCACAGAGTGTTACTTTTGGAAAATATTTCGATAGACCACTTTGTTGACGATAATTTTGTTGTGTTGGCTCATTTTTTGCTAATAATACAAGTTTTTGAAGTAATTCAAGACCATATTTATAATATTTAATTCCTAACATTTCATTTAAAAGTGATAATTGTCCAATAGAATTAATAACATACAATGTTTTTGTTAATAAATAGACCATCATAAAATAATTACCTTGATAAGACAAAATAATTAAAAATATAAAATATCGACTTGATTTATGAAGAAACATAATTAAAGAGATCTTTAACTAGTGTAGAAAAAAGTTGTCATCAAAGTAATTAGAACAAATAAAAACAGAACAAAGGATAAGATAATCCTAGATACTATTTTTTGGTAGAGTGAAAAAAGAGATTAAAAAGAAAAATAAATGAAAAAAAAGTTTAAATAAAAATGAATTACCTTGAAATTTTCCATACATACAACAAAATACGGCAAGTATTTTTTTTGTTAAACTTAAATTTCTATTTTCTCTTCCACGTCTTGGATCATCAATAAATTCATCAATTGATGCAATAATATAATTCATTATTTTTTTACGTTTATCCATACGATCAATTGATTTAAAACTTTTTCCAGCTTCAATAATATCTTTTAAATCAATTCCACTACGAACCATTAATGATTGCCATATTAAATTTGGAATGTAAAATAGTATACTTAGAAAACATAGAATAAATGGTATCCATTGATAATATAATAATTCACGACTTGTACGTTCATTTATTATTTTTGGAATTTTTTGTGTTTGATTTACATAGTATGTATTTTGAATATAACAAATATGATTTGTATAATCTTCATAGCCTGATGTAAATATGGCTGGAACCCAACCTAAAATATTAAAAAACATAATAAATTTTTAAATAAAAAAAAAAGAAATTTTAAACATACATTGTATTTGTTTGTTACTAAATTGTCTATTTGTAACAATGGCTGAGAAGACATTTAATATAATAACGGTATAACGATAATTTAAACGATCAACAAAATCATCGGGATCCGCATTTTGTGTTGTACCTTGTCCAGCTAACGACGGTATACCTTTCAAGAGTAAAAATGCCATCCAATATTGTTGTTATTATTATTGTTGTATGATGATTAATAAAAAAAATTGTTAAATTCATTATTAAAATTTATTATTTAGTAGTTGATGATCATAAACGATTATTTTATTATTAATCTGACAAATATACAATAAATGCATTAACTTTTTTCTCTTTGGTATTTTTTTTTTTTTGTTTTGTTTTAATCGTAATCGCGCTGAGAGAAAGAGACTATAAATGAGGATTTTTTTTTTTTTTTTTTTGTTTTGAGGATGAAAGAAGTATTTTCCTGATATACTATTGGGGGCTTTTCTTTTCCGTTTTCTTTTTAAACAGCTGTTTTTTTGTCATGCAGACAAGAGAAATAAAATCATTCTGCAGACCTTTAGGATAAATTATCTTTCACACTATATCAGACCAATCATCATTACAAATTATTACAAACAAGGATTTTTATAAAACAAAACAATAGACAAAAAGAGAGAGAGAGAGAGTATAAAGATCTGTCAAGTTTATAGTCGATTGGAGACACAATTTAGTGTGTATGTGATGAAAAACTATCTTTCTCTAACCTTTATTTGTTTTGTTGTCTCATACTGAAAAAGAATTAATATACAAATAGGAGAAAAACAGATATCGTTGACAAAATCATTCAACACATGAGGTATTAGACTGCTGTATAAATGTTGATAATGAAAAAAAAAAAATTATTTTATTAATAAAAAAAATGATGACGTCCGAAAAACAAAATTTGATGTACATTATTAATTATCACATCGAGGTATATGTAAATGTATAGATAATCTGTTTATCTTAATTGAGATTGAGATTTGACAGATTATTTTAGAGTCATCTTCTCTAATAAGTTTTAGACAACCAGATGAAAATTTCCACCTGGTAGACGGGGGTGCATTAATGTGTTGATCCTCTGGTTTCTACTTATATGGAAAAGAGCATCGAGATAAAAAATTGAAAAAACTATTTATCAATTATGTATATGATACAAGAAGTTCAGTATACACTAGACGTACGTTGTTCTTCGTACTCCATTTGTCGTGAAAATAAAACCCATATTAAATATTTTATTCTATGACGCGATTTAATGATTATTTATATATTAAAAAGTTATCGTGAATTAAAAGTATGATCTGCTCTGTTGATGGAGACTATTTAAACATTTAGAAAAAAGTGATCATTGGAAAATTGTATAGTCTATGCTCATTAGATATTAAATATGTTGTTATATTTTCTTTTATGCACTTATAATTTAACATGTGAACTCTTTTTATTTCTAATTATGATGAAGAGAGTAGAAAATTTAACTTATTATTCCTGGACAAATGACAAAATACAAATTAATATATGTGTTATGAAAATATTTGTATATTATTTTATTATGATAAGAAAGAGAGAGAGAGAGAGAGAGAGAGAGAGAAAGAGAGAGAGAGAGAGAGAGATGTATCATGCGTAGAAAATTTTAATCATATATAAATCAGTCGTACTTACTATTTTTGCTATTTACTGATGAAAAAACATTCATTTATAGAAAAAAATGAAGTTTAATTGAAAAATATTTAAAAGATAATCAATAAACTATCGTCGTATTGTGCGTAGTCAAATAGTTGAATTTTGAGGAAAAAAAAAAGAAGAGAAAATAGATTAGCTGATAAGTGAGCATATTCTACAAGTGGCACCAGCTTGACCATAAGATAAAAAAGAAAAAAATGTCTTCGTCATGTTTGCTCCATTAAAATAGATTAATGCCATTAGTATAAATATCTTCTTCTTTTTCTATTAATAAGTCATCTTTTAAGTGGTGTACAAGTATATTCATAAGAAGAAGAAAAACTTATCCATACAAATACTCAAGGATCAATATTCCTAGAATAATCCTAGTTATTTTTTGATAAACATAGTAAGATTAAATACCTGAATGATAATATATGCTTATAGAATTACTTATTTCTTTTTCTATTGCACGTGCAATATATACTGAAAACACAATGTATATGTGAATAGTGAACATATCTATAATTATCTATATGTACTACTAATGTTCTCTCTTTCTTAAAGTCATTTACTTTTTTGACACACAAAAACAATTAAATAAAAAATATTGTCTAATTAATATTATTCTTCAAAATACTTAATAACAAGGTCAACAAGTTTCTACTTAAAAAATATATTGTAAATTTCTCATAATACATTTTCTATTTTCTAGAGTAATAAAGAATCCAAAACTAATGTGACTATATGTAAATTAGTTACCTGATTATAATGACAAATTTTGTCATTTTCTAATAGATAATTAATCTTTATTATTTTCTCATTTATCCTTACACGTTTGTCTTTCTATTTTTCTTATGTCTGTCTACACATTTGTATAATCAGTAATATATCCATAGAGATTTACTTTGTTGTCTTCTCCTATGTATCAAATCTACTATATAGTTCCTGCTGTTTTTCTATTGAATATAACTCATTTAGTAGCAATATATATATTTATAATATATCTATCTATATTATCAAGTTTTTCTTAGACTAAAAATAAAAAGAGAAAGGAATCTATAGTATTTACAGAGACACAAATATATTGTGTGAAAAATTATTATGATTTACATATTTCTTAACTGTATCTTTCGATACATACATATATAAAGATATCGTATTCTACAAATACTATTTTGTGCCTACTACTTCTCTCTATGTAGTTGAAAAATAATACTCCGATGTGATGGAGATATATTAAAGAATTTGATGTTGAGCTTACGGGTTAAACACATTACAGAGAGTATAATAATAAAAATATCGTCTATTTTTCACTGAATGGTATTTGTTTGATAAAGAGACAAAAATAGAGAGAGATAGAAAATAATTTTTGTTATAGAGGCAGGTGACAAAATCTTTATTTACTAATAGAGAGATGTACACAATTTATGATTGAATTCAATGATTAAACAATATAAAAAAAGCAAAAAAGAAATGTTCATCTACTATTCGATATATTCTTTGTTGCTTCCCTCTCCACACTATTTCAAGATAATCGTTCTATGTTGCTGTTCAAATAATCGAAGGACTTCTTTTCTCTGGTTAAGTTAAGTGTCGATTATTATTATTATTATTATTATTATTATTATTATTATAGACTAGAAAATTTCTTTCTTTTCATAGTGATGATGATAATGATGATGATGATCATCATCATCATGATCATCATAATAGGGACAGTAGGAGAAAAGGAAAGTCAATTTTGTACTCATTTTTTCCTATTCAATATAGATTCTATTGAAATTTCATTAGTATTAGACTGTGTGGACAATTACTATTTTTCCGTATGAGAGAAAACTTCCAGTAAACAAAACGATAACACTTTCTCCTTTTTTTTTTTTATTCAAATAAAGAGAGAAAATAAAAAGAAGAAGAAGAATAGTGTTTAATTAATAACTATTTTTGTAAGGTGGACGAACACACAATACTACGTTTCCATGCTGATTGAATAAACATAGTAGGTGATGTGATAAAGACTTTACAGAGTACATTTCAAGGATTCATTCTAATAAAAGAAAAAGAAATTTTTTTAAAATTCTTTTTGTTACAGATTGATGCGCAAAGCCCGATATTTATTAGATCGTGACTTAAAGGATAAACTTACAGCTCAAACAATAGACGAACATGCGATTGATTTAACATTAACAAATCCAAGTTTATATCTAAAAGAAGGTGTGACAAAAGTAAATCCAAGGTATGCTTTATAAATCATTTAACAAAGTGATATAAATCCTAATTGTGTTATCAATTGTCAACAGGAAATGTTGTTTGCTCTAAAAGAGAAAATAGTAAGAAATTCATTATTTCTGAAATAAGTGTAATATCACTTGTAACAAAGGTCATGTCACTAGAAAAGACTTGCATCTATACAAAAGAAGATTGAGATATGTGATATATGTGCGTGTCTATGCTGTCTATTTATTTGGACACGCTAAAATTTTCCAAACAATATGAATAACATTCATCTATAGTCATCATCTTTCTTTGCTGAGATACTAAAATATTTTCATTTATACTTATGACACCATACATAGACTAATCTGCTCTTATTGTAGCAACACGAACGCGCCTGTCAACGATTACCATATTATTTAGATATATTACATTACTAAAATGTGCCGTTAGGAAGAGCTATGAGCCTATTTCTGTTATTGTACCATTGTTTCATATAATAGATATGATAATTTCAGAAACAAAACTAATTTTCATTTCTTATACCTATTCTACATGTTTATATTACATTTTGCCGTTAGATCAGTATCGGAACCATTTTGGGAAGAATATTCAGATGTAAATATTAAACATGCTGAAGCTCAACGTTTAAATGCTGTTCAATTACGTAATGTTATTGATGGTATTATCAAAAAAATTGTTAATGATATTAAACAAGCTGTTGAACGTACAAATCGTTCGTTTGATCGTCGTATATTCGAATCAAAACAGGCTAAACAAAAATTAGAAGATCAAGTTCGAGATGTAAGTCAATTAATTTATGTTAACAAAATATATATTAAAAAAAAACAACCTGTTTAAACTCTTAGGTCAATTTATTAATTCATCAATTAGAAGAAAATATAAAAACTGTTGAAAAAGCTATACGTGATAAAGAGCAATATCTTAAATTAGCTCATACACGTTTGGATATACGTGGACAACGTCCCAATGTTGAACTGGTTTATGATGCACCACAAAAACGTCTTATTGAAGAAATTCGAGAAATTGAATGTGAAATTCAACGTCTTCAAGAACGGTAAGAACAATATATAAGTTAATATTTTTAAGTTTTATTAATATTATCATTAGAAAGTAATTTTATCAATCATTTAACCTTCAAAATGTCAAATCATTTATTTAATTAATATGTAAACAAATAGAATATGTGAACTCTTCATATGTAAACCATGTGACTAATTTATCTTCTATTTTTACTCATTATATTCACTTTAAATTATACATCTCTTTTTTATTATTTTAGATTGGACGAAGCACATGTTCGTCTAAAAAATTTAGATCGTGATAAATTAATTTTAGAAAAAGATATTGAAACAAAAAATAATACTATTTTTGTTGATGAAGTTGAATGTCATCAAGGTTTACGAAAAGCAATTTCTATAGTAGATTGGTAGCATTTATCGTAACCATTAAACATTCCAGTAATAATCATTCTTTATGCTTAATTTATTTTTTTTTAAAAAAAAATTATTTAATTGAATATGTACATCAAACACTATTCTTGTTTTGCTTCTTTTTTTCTTAAAAAAAAATAAAATGAATGTGATAACCAGTATATGTCATGGAATTAAATATGGCTATTATATATATGAAGTTATTAGAGTAAAGACACTATTTTTCTACCTTTTAACTTTTGTTTTCTTTTCTCACTCTCTCCTGAGAATTTAAAGCTTAAAGTTTTACTTATATCAGCTTCTCGGAGTAGAAAATCAAATGTTAGAAAAAAACTAAAAGAAATCATAAAATATTGTCAACTATAGCGGAACAACTGTAGTCAATTTCAATTCAAATTTCACTATCTTTCAGTGGAATTTTGTCTCGAGCTTTGAGTATGCCCATTGAAATATATCTGTGGAGAAGTCAATAGGGTACTATTGTAATTGCTGATGGATTTATGACTAAGAATAATAATCGATATTACGTCTGGAGGAAGGTATACAACATGATTAGAAAAAATATGTCATTCAGTTGTGAAAACTCAAAGTTTGATTTGATTATGGATCTGTTTTCATTTCTATCTGAAATCTATTTTCAGACATTTTTAAGTTTAGATTCAAAATTTATTATCTGCACTGAATTTTCTAAAATAATTATACTCTGATTTAGAACAAAATTTTTCAACCGGAAATATCAGAATGAAGTACCAGATTCTCCTTCACCTATTTCATTACCAACTGTAACTATAGTTTTAGTTATCTCTGGATTATAAAATTCAATGGTTTCTGAATACGCATTTAATGGTTTCTTATGTCTACTTCAGTTTCGAATTTAGAAGATGATACTCCACTTTATTGTAAATAAAGTAAAAATAGTATAGTATTCTTGAGTTGTTTGATGCAATTGGTACGTGAGTAAGTACTTCTGGTTGAATCGTCCTAGTACATTGTTATAAACAAAACTAAGAAGACAAGGTAGTAGTAATATTAATATGCATTGTCTATCGCCAAAAAACGAATGACAAACTGGCGATTACATTTATAATGAAATCATACCGGCTAAAACAAAGATAAATATTTGTGTACATTTTCCTATTCAACAAGCAGTAATGCTATTTCCTCGAATTAATGTGATTTCTTTAATGCAAAGCAAAAATCATTATATTCAAAGCATCCTGAAATGGAACAATTAACATTATAAAGTAATAGTGGATGTGCAAAGCGAAAAAGAAATGTTTTAATTCGACTGGTTAGTTTGAACACTATATGTAGCTACTAATAATAGACTAGCGAGAGACACAATACTCGTTTTATCAGTAACAGAGAGTTCTATGATGACAAAAACAAAAACAAACAATAAAAAGAGCGAAGAAGAATAGACACATTAACCACGTTCACCAATGTAAACTACAAACAATAAATTTTTAAATTCAACAGTGCATTACTAACGAGTAAAATTTCGTGTCATCACGATACTCACTCGAATTCAGAGACCTGCAACCCGACCCGACCCGACCCTAGGGTCGGGTTCGGGTTGAATATTTGGCGACGCAATTTAAAATATAAATAATATTTTTAGCTTTGTATTACTGGTTGAAAGTTATCTCTACTGGAATTTCCAGTTGAAAGACTTGTTTCAGAACAACTGCATTCACTAAGTCGATTAATGATTGCTTCCTGCACTGTAATCAATGGCAATACATCCCTTACTGCTTTTTTTCAATGTACTGTTTTAAACACCCGTACATAGAAGACTTTACTATAATGCTCTCTACTTGCTATCTTAGTATTAGGTGATACTGACTGACCAATAAGAAAAAGGATGTGGTCATCATCTCGATTAAGATAATCTATTGACAAAGTGTACTGAGGAATTTTCAATAGATTAACCTTTTAGACAAAATGACCAATCAGACGTCGTTCAAAAATTTTTTTTTGAACTACGAGGTTCTACAATATGCACCGAAAAACTTTTGTCTAACAAGGCAAGTCGATATTCTTTCTCAAACACAGTTTTCTGGTGAGATTGTTTTCATCGGGTCGGGTCGGGTTCGGGTTAGGTGTTCTTAACCCGTGCAGGTCTCTACTCGAATTTTATCCGGAACATGCTTAAAATATTAGCACTTATCTTGTGAGTCATCAGAAGAGAAGGTTATGTTACAAAAGAAATAAATGATCATGTTTACACTAGTATTATGTCAGAGAAGCAGAAACTTAGATGTAAGACATCATCCGTACAAAAACTATCGATGGAAAACCAAGTACAAAAAGTATTAATATGTATTGATTCCATTAAAAAAGCTCAATAGTCGCATGCAAATGATTTTTTTTATCACAATCATATTGTTCGTTGATATCAGAACTTGATATCAAAATATAATTGAATTTTGTCTGCGAGTCAACTAATGACTAAAAACGATACTATCTTGAACAGTCCACATAGGCAATTTTCAGATCCAAATTAACAAGATAGGTCTTAAAAAATACCGTCGAAGTAGCGAATGGCCGGATTTGATCAATTCACAATAAAAACTCTAACTTTCTGAAGTTTTAAAAATAAACATAAAGTTGTTGATTAAGATTAAGATGATAAAACAACTAATACAAACTACAGCCGATAAATTTTTAAATTCAATAGTGCATTACTAATGGGTAAAATTCTATATCATCACTACACTATAATTAAATTTTGTTTGGCAATCAACCCATAACTAAAAACAATATTATCTCGACGATAGCGATTCCAAAATCCAAACAAAGTCCTAAAATCACTAACAGATGATAATGAAGTGTTAAAAGTTGGTCTGTTTGGCACTATGGAATAACAAAATCTCGCTTGTCTATCTCCAAATGTGTCCACTAATCGAAGTACATTTTTCTGAAAGTAGAGAATATTAGAGAGCATTCAAACAAACACAAGTAAGTTAAAGATAAACGAAAGATCAATTTTTATTAATGTTGAAAATATTGGAGACTTGTCTCAAACAAGTCAAGTAAATTAGAAGAAACGAAATAGAAAGCATTTGGGAGGAGAATAAGAATGATTTATATGTTGAAAGGTTAAAATGATACATGAAAGTTATACCAGAAAAGATACAAAATTAATCTCGATTAATTGATGCAAATTTATTATAAAAATAAAACAGTTAGATTTTTCTATTAATAACAGTAATTCAATAGTCAACTATAAAACGTTGTCAGCATCATCTTCAAATGAAGATAGATTACTTACCGCATTTTATTCTATCTGAATCATTATATATACATTATACTTCTTGAAGAAATTTCTATGAGTATTTTGCGAACATTCGACTTTTTGAAAACAGATTATAGCACTGCGAGTAATTATCACGTCAGTCAAATCAAATAATACTAAATAATAATATAAGAACCCTGGGATTACCAAATGTAGGTTTAAATTCGAATGTAAGACTTTTATATGTAAATCCTTATTTTTACCAAAAAACGGGCAGAAATGTCGTAATTCCTAGAAAATCAACGGTTACTGGAAATTTTACTGAAAATTAAATTATATAATTGACTACTTTCATTTTAAAAGTACTAAAATATATCATACAGAAGCATTTTTATTATAATAGATATTCGAGCCAGTATGGTAGATATCTTAGTAATCGAACTTCTAAAGAGAAACATAGAAATAAAAAAATAAATATGCAAAATAAAATTCTAAGTAGTCGGATGTTCTTGAAATGTTTATAAATTATTTTTATCTAAGTTAAATAATTTTGATTTGATTCCAATTTTGTTTAATTCTTGAATAAGTTCGCCTGATCGATGCATATCCAATAGAATATCGCAACCACCAATAAATTCACCATTAAAATAGATTTGTGGAAATGTTGGCCAATTACTATAGATTTTTAAAATTTGACGAAGTTTTTCATCATTCAAAATATCTTTTGATTTGAACTGACAACCGTGTAAATTTAAAATTTGAATAATAGCATTTGAAAAACCGCAACATGACGTTTCAGGTTCTCCTTTGATAAATATGGCTATTTTATTTTGTTTTACAAAATCGTCTAATGTTTCTCTAAATTTTGGATCGATAAAATCAATTGAGTTAGATGGTGGAATAGTAGATGTAGGTGAAAATAGACTGGATGATATTGAAAATGATCGAGTTTCTTTACATGATGATAGATTGCTAATGGATCGTAGTAGAGTATGTTTAAACAATGACATCTAAAAGTAAAGAGAACAAAAACAGAAATATGCTATTGAAAGCAAAATCTTTTCAATTTCTTATATATTTCATAGTGTCATCTTGATTTTTTTCCATTAACAATCAAATAATACTAAAAATAGATCAATATTTTGTATCTCTAATATGAAATATAAGATTTGGTCAAATTACAGTATTGGGCATTGCTAATTTACTTTTAACTATTGACTGAAGAAGCAGCTGAAAGATTTTTACAGATGTTACACTCATTTAACTTCCATTATAGAAAAATAATAAACCAAATCTGTTCTCCTTGATTATCCACCATTTATTCAATACTGTCTTGGTTTTTATATCAGTTCAGCACCAATTTTTTTCTATAAATTCTCAATTCTGTAGAAAAAAATTCTATTCTTTCATTATTTCATATAATACAAATAAAACATTTTTCACACTAAATTATTTGGTAGAATTTGTTGTTTAGGTCCTAGAAATATACTCGTAGTCAAGTATTAAGAAATGACATATAATGAACCGTACAAATATTAATTTATAATACAAATTAGTCTCATTTTCTCATATCTGCATTGATGTTCGATTTAAAAAACAAAAGTATCTATTCAACATATCGATAGTGTTGACGTTTCAATTGCACTTAAATATTCTTATAAAAAAATTCAATAATAGATCCCTATATACTCTATTTTCTTAATTAACAATCAGTTTTTATTTTATTAAAGAAGTAGAAACTTATAGACGACGTTGAGCATTTTAAATACTAATTCAAAATAAATCGAATAATATTTCTTTTTTTTCAAGTATTTCCTGTTTGTTTGCGTATTACTCGGTATTTTTGAGAAAACAAAAATAAATTCTAACAAATAGAATATAGAAAAAAATCAAATCTTAATAGAAGTTAAGATATATATATATATAAGACAATTTTTACAATGATAAATCAAAGAGAACTTTTTTAACCCTAAAAAACGTCAATTATTAAAATTCAATGTTTCTGTTATTATTGTTTTGTTTTTCTTCTTCTCAGCTTGGTTAATAATTAACAATATACACGTATGAGTATGCTATCTATTCATTACTTTATAATTGAATCACAGTTTGAAAACTATTTAAGAAAAAAAGAAAATTACGTTTTGAGAGAGTGCTTTTTTATTTAAAACGATAGTAATACGTAAAATAGACGATATTTTATAGTATTGTTTTTTTGTATTTGTCACTTGTAGAAATCGAATAAAAAAAAAAAAGACAAAAATAAATCTTTTTACCTGTTATTTTATTACAAATAATACTATTGTGTTTAGATCCTTAAATATTTTTTTTTAATATAATATTGGTTTATAAGAACGATCTTAACGTCTGACAAGGTCATGATGAGCTAGTCATTTATGTAAGACACGTTTGCTGTAAATTTCAGACAAGAATTTGTAAATAGGTTTCTCAAAAAACAGTTATTCGTCGTCTTATCAAGTGAGAACTGAAAAACTGTTATCGATGAGACTAAGTATGGAGAGAGAGAGAGAGAGAGAGAGAGAGTTGTAATATCAAAAAGTAAAGTTTATATCTAATTCGGATTGTGTTGTTCACTCCTTGCATAGAATTCAGATCTGAGTATCCTTCCTTGTATCTTTAGATCTATACAGACTTTCAATGATAATTAAGATGCTATTTTTCTTCTAAATTAGTTGACAGTCAAAGAATTCACAATGGTGTTCGGACGCGAGTCAAATTTATCCGAAGCGTTAATTCAATGTAAAAAAATTGAAAAACATTTTCTTCAACGAGAATATACGTCGATTGATAAAGAACGACGAAAAATTCGTTCAAATATTGATGGTCGTATGGGAACGTTTCTAGCATTACACAAAAAGCGTCATGAAAACTGGTGGAAATACGATCGTCATTTTCGAGAACATGTACGTAAAGAAAACGAAAAATATGAAAAACGAAAAGAACAACTTAGAAAACCATTCAGAATAGGCGGTTTTAATCGTCCTCCAACTCCATTTAAAATATTAGATATTAATGATACAAATTTAACTGTTATGCCAGAAACAAATAGTACTGTATTGCCTATGATTACGGAATCCACTATAACAAAAACTACGATAGACGATAATCATATGAGTAAACGAGAGAATATATCATCAACAGCAATGCCAGTATCAAAAGCTCAACAACGTGTACACGAAGTATTAAAATCATCTCAAAAACTTTTAGCCGATTCAGCAAAGAAAACTCATCATAAACAACAAATGAAAACACAATCATTATTTTCCTCATCTTCATTGTCAACACACTCAGCGGCAACATCATCTATGTCAATCGTAAGAACAATATCACCGTTGACATTTTCATCTCTTGCCAGTGGATATTATTATAAGCCTATACCACTAATTGACGATGATTATTATCAACAATTATTGTTAAATTCAATTCAACATGAAACATATGAAGAATTCATTAATCATTTCATTAAATTTCGTCCAGAATTTCGTGAAAAATTTTCCTCTATGCATGAAGATATGAAACGAAGTATCGCTATGGGAAAATTAAGAAGTTTTAATCAAGTACTAACTAGGAGAAAAGATGATCGTTATCATCAATTAATTAGTAGTTTAGTAGATTTTCGTTCCAATAAACTACTATCACGAAAAAAAATGGAATTAATCTAGACAATTTTAATATATACAATGAAGAGAAAAATACATTACTCTTCATTCTATGCTTCTTCTTCTTCTCGATTAACTGAGAAGAATATAAAACTAATAAAAGCAAAAACTTTATTTATTAATCATTGGAGATATGAACATGTTACTCTCAACAATGTACTGAATAATTTTTTATACAAGTTTTAAAAAATATACTTGGATTGAATTTTGGACTGAATTTTATACTCAATTTTTTTTTAAATATTTGCTTTTCAACATAAACTTGAAATAATTCTGTTTCTCAATAGTCTTAAGCATGAAAGTTGATGATTGTACATATTTTCCATATAATCTAATTTGATAATTTAAGGTTCCTCTTCCATCCCTTTCTCTAAAAAAGTAAGGTTCTCCAAGTAAGTTTTTATTCATAATATCAATTTTGTTCAATTAATACAAGGACATGGTCGTGTAAGAGAAAGTGTCGACTCTTAGAATGCACATCACTTTCTGCTCTAGTAGAATAAGAAAAGATTTTCGTAGTTTTAGAGCAAGTTTTCTGTATACCATGAGAAAAAAAGATCGTTGGGTATTGATGTTTTCCTCAGTGTTTCTCTAGCGAGATTTTCTTCCGAACATGAAGATCCCGTCAAAATAAGAGGAAGATGTTAAAGAATTCAGATTGGTTTCAAATTGAACACATATGACTAGAACATTTAAGAGTCCGATTTTTCAATTTCGGCCCAGTTTCTCATAAAGTGAAGGATTTTTGAAAACTTAAAACGAATTTTGAAGTTTCTTTTTAATGTCTTATAAGCATAAATTCAAGAATTAGATTTGTATGTTATTGTATAAAAACGATTGCTCTAGCATTGATTTACTTACACATCGAAACGACGCTTCTACTGTGTAAATTGAAACAAACGTTTTTAGCTAAAAGACGTCTAAAATATTTAGCAAATGCAATGTGTATCTCCAAGATCTATATCAGATGTTCGTTTACCTAAAAATATATATTTCTTGAAAACTATTGTCATGTGGAAGGGAAGTAGATTTTTAAAACTAAACAAGTTTGACAATACGAAATAAGTTCAAAATAGACTTGAAAAACATCTTTAGTTGTTTTCTGTACAGATATTCTCAAATTGAATAGTTGTGTTTGTTGGAAATTAGGACTGTATAGAGAATAAATAACTAAAATTTAAATATCACCATTATCGATACCGGAAAAAAGTATCTTACTTGCTTTGAGTTTATATTTTTCTATATATTTAAGCAAACATGGTGTACATATGAAAAAAGTAGAAGAGAGAACGTTAATTAGGAAAATAAGTTAGCAAGTTTAACAGAAAAAAAATGGTTGACATTTTTTTAAATGTCTTTATAATTGATTAAATATTAAAAAAAATTGAATTACAAGCAGCCAGTTTAATTTCAACTACGTGTGTAGTGAAATGGTTTCGTAATAAAATACTTTAGGGAGTAAAAAGAACAGAAGAAAAAGGGAAACGTAACATCGGGCTATTCCCGCATTTGACAAATGTTACGACTAAATATATATATATGGAATAACGAAAACAAACTTTTATAAAAAACCAACAATAACAATAAACATGCAGAAAATAAACACAACTTCAATCATTAGTTATGGAAACAGATCGTTTTATACATTTATCTACATAAGTTAGCTCAATATGAATAAAAACAGTAATATATCACCGAACAGGGGCATTCTTCCATTTGTATGGATTCTCCTGACTTTTGGCACATCTAACTATGATCTTAAATTGGCTAACATTCGTTCAATTTCGTCATCTTCACTTTGTTTCGATGCTTTAGACGCCATAGCAGATCCTGGAATTGCCGGTGCACCATTAAGCTAGTAAAGATAAATAAAATATGCTATGTAAAACTGGGTGGGATGGTAAGTGTGAATTTTAGTACCTTATCTTTCATTTGGATGCCCATTTCATCCAACACCTGTTTTACAATTTGGTCCTCTTCTTCTTCGTCTCCTTCTTGACCAAGGGCCGATTCCAATGTTTCACCAACTAAAATGAAAAGATAAAATTGCTATCTCTGTTTCATATAGCATTAATTTAACTCACTTAATTCATCCGTTATTTCCATTTTCATATGTTGTTCGGCAAATTTCTGGGTTACTTTTCCCATTGTTTGAGGATCCATCAAACGATTCATCTTTTCCATTGTTTTCGCGGTATTGTCCATTGCCTATTAAATAAAAATAGATCAAGCATGTATTTTATACAATAAAACAAAAAAGTACCTTTGCCATTTTAACATTTGATGCCATCATCTGCAAAAATAATACAAAATAAGCACTTTTATTTTACACATAATGCCAACTATCATCATACCGTATTTTGAACGGCCAAACCTTGTATATGTCCACTTGCATTCAGCGATTTTGCTTTTTGTCCTCGTACTTTCACTAACTGTTTTGCCAATATTTCAACAGCCTTAAAGATAGACCATTAGTATTTTTCTGTGTTGAAAAAAAGCGACTATACGTACTTTCTTGTTTCCTTGTGTAGCATTTTTTCTAATTTCGTTGATCTAAATGGAAATACGTAATAGAAGGCTTGATTCAAAAAATGACTTTATTTACATACCAGTTTTTGTTCTTCATTTTCAAGTCTATGTCTATCTCGTACTAAATCACGATCAGTCCGCCGAAGTTCTCTTGATTGTTCTCTGGTTTGTTCTAAATTGAAGACATAAGTTTTTCGATTTTCTATGGAATTAAATTGTCTTCACTGAAGCACATACAACACAGTCAAAATATTTCACAAGTAGAAAATAAATCAGAATTTATATCGTCATTTATCATGCAGAGAATTAACAATTTACGTACCAGTGATATCTTTCTTTTTACTAAACATGTTCAAATTCCCACGTAATCAAAATACGAAAGTAGGAGGATTAAATATTAAATCTAAAAACAGCACAAAGTGAAAAAGAGAAACAACGTAATACAGTTGCAAATTATCTATCTTCTGTTATTGATACAATCAAACATTCTGTATCAGTCTTGGTCCGCAAGACGAGATATATGCACTAAAACTGTGTGCTCAAATGGAACATTTTCCACATGACGAATGCTTAAGAGGAAAAAATCTACATCATCGGAAAGTCTGAGAGAAATGAAGACTGCAGATTAGCTTAGATTAGTCATTTTACTAAATGACAATAGTACTGAGCTGTAAAAAAAAGAAAGCAAATATTCGTATAACTGGACATCTGGTTTCAAAAATTCTTTTACTTTGTTCACTCAAACAATGGTAATAAGTGAATAGAGTCAGTGAATACAGTTGATGCTAACATTGATTGGAAATGAATACAGATAAATTCTTAGCTTTCGTCCGTAAAATAGAGAGAAACATTACATTGATAGATCGTGAACGGGCAATAATTTTGATAGACAACAACAGAACAACTTAAATAAATATTTAACATCTATTTTCATTTATATAAAAGTTAACGGACACAAATATACTTACTTGAAAATAATGGCAATCGACATCTAAGCCACTAGTGTGAAATCAAATTTTCTTAGCGATGAACGAATTTAGATCAAAGTTTATATCTGTTACTTTTGTTTATGTTTAATAATTATTTTGCTTATCATCAATTATCATCAATTTCATTCACTCAAACTAATGATTAAATATAGACAATGGCGCTAAAAAAATCTGACTTTTTGTTTCCTCTTAATATGTGATATCTTATTATTTATCGTTCTTAGACGAATTGAACACTTGCGTTTTCTTCTATCTGCTGCTATTGTTGTCATCCTCCAAATGGTAATTATATTTCGTTTTACTCCAGTTCTGTTTTTGTCCCATTTGAAGATAGTTCAATATACAACCATCCGAAGACGCTATATAATATAAACAAAATTTTGCCTTATTTTCTCATATTCATTTTAATAATAATAGAACTCATTGTGCCTGACGTTGTTTGAATTCTTAATAAAGTATTTCAAGAACGATTAATCAAAATTATTGCTAATACGAATTATTGCTTTTAACGAGTTTAATTGTGCTAAAAATCGTAATAGGTTAAACATTTTAGTTCATCAGCGACTTATTGTATAATATGATTTTTCCATTTATAATCCAGTTGCCGTTGTTCTGGTAAATTATTTATCTAGCAATAGAAACAAATGTAAAGCATACTTAAAACTAGAGAAAAACATAGCTTGCTAGATAAAATCGATTTGATGTTCGAAGTTTTCTATTTTTTTTTCTCATTTTTCGTAACAAAATTTTCTTCTTTCTGCATTAACACGAAAAAAATAGAACCAATGAAAAAAACGAAACTAATAAACAGATATTTTTCATTTTTCTCTTTCTCTCAGCTAGTAGTACCGTTTTCTGTCAATCGGCAGAGAAAAAAAAAGAAGCAAACAAAAAAACAGAAAGGAATGAACACACACGAAAAGCGTCTTTTTCGGACAAGATCTACTAGGAGTTTATTTTTTGTTTGTTGGAGAAGGGGCACGGAAAGATATGATCGATTGTTACTGTGAGTCAATGTGATATCTTGTCGTCAGAATCGCATCTATATTTTTTTCATTTTCTTTTCGTTTCATGTCATTTGTAGTAATAGACTAATACGTATATACTGTGTGAATGACCAGTTGATATTCATGCCAGAAAAAAACATATTTGCGTGTATTTCATTCAATTTTCATCTTTTTTTCGCTGTTTTCTTCCTCATAAATGATTTTATATTGTTTGGCTTAAATCATTGAACATAATAAACTATTGTTTAATAATGTCAATAAAATCTCATTGTTCAAAAATGTGAAAAACCACTTGCGCCCTGAGAATTTAAAAATAATGTTTGATCAGCGTATGTTGAATCTTGTGATAATAATTGATGATCACCGCCTTGTGATTGATAGGTATCATATAAATCTGTTTGTGAAAAGTCTTGTTGTGACAGACCATAGGGAGGCTGTGACATGAGACCACTCTGAGAAATGGGATACGGTTGACTGATCGTTCCGCCTTGTGTCAGTGCCGTTGCATCCTAGAAAAGAAATAAAATGAAGACACAGCATTATTACAGATATTGATTAAAGAGTCAACAAACCTGCGATTGTGTTGTGCCATTAAATGGTAGATTTTTCGAAAATCGCGGTGGTTTCATCGGATTTTTACTTCGATTTTTCGCTGCTTTAGCAGCTGCTTGTGCTTGGGCAGCTGCTGTTTGTGCTGGTCCTCCGACTTGACGACCTAATAAAATATAGAAAAAGTTAAATTTACTCTCATATTATTTTTTATAGATTGGTCAATAACTTACCATTCATCATTTGATTAAATGGTCCATTCATATAAGGCATTGATAATGGTGGTGGTAACATCATTTGTTGAGGTATAGGTAAATTCATTCCGTTTGTTGTTCGAGCCATTGGATCAATGTAATTTAACGGATCGTGAGCTCGCATTGTTGTACCAAATGTATTTGCATAATATGGACCAAATAATTGGCGCTTGTCTGTTGTACCACTGCGATCGTAAACACTGCCAGGTATCATTGCTTCTTTTGCTAAAAGAAATGAGAAAAGTATGTAATAAAAATTTTCTCCCTGCGAATATTTATCAATATTGTATACCTGAAAACATCACATTTGACATGAATCGACCACCAGGATTTGTTGGGTTTACTAATTTTTTTGGCTTTGAAAACTGAATACAACTCTCTTTCAAATTATTTAAGGGGCCTTCAACAAGAACATGTTGTTCTTTATAGTATGTTAATAAATGATTCCATAATGGCTGACGGGAAAGTACTTTTGGATTGCCAATGACAATAACACCGTATCTAAAATTTCACAGAAGATGGATAAATAGACGAAGAAATCGCAATTTAATACGGCAAAAATGTTAATGAACACTATCTTTCGTTGTTGTGCAGCGTAATAAAGTTAGTTTCTATTTTTTAGCTTACTTGGCACGTGTTAATGCAACATTAAGACGTCTTGGATCATTGAGAAACCCGATGCCTTGATGTTCATTGGCTCGAACACACGATAAAATAATGAAATCTTTTTCTCTGCCTTGAAATGCATCAACACTGGCGACTTCAATTTCTTGATATAATTTTTCATTTAACGATCCACTATATTGCATATGTTGTACAATGAATGCACGTTGACCTTCATAAGGAGTAATTATTCCAACTTGTTCAGGTTTAATACCAGTTTTTAATAAACGTGTGGCAATTTTTTCAACCATAGCAGCTTCCTGTCGATTTAAATACGATGTTCCACTACTCGATATTTCTTCTTGACCCAACGAACAATAGAAAAACATAGGTTTATCTGATTGTGACCTAAAATACAGAGCGATATGAGTTTTTGTTGTATTTTAAAGGAAACAAATATTTGTTCAAATAAGCGCAAACAGATATGAAGTGACAGTCTTTCTAGTATAGTGTACATCTTACCAAGGAAAATCTAACGTTGTTATTGTACGTTCAGCTGCCGTTACACCATTTTGTAATGAGCCTAGAAAAAAATATCAACTTAAGGATATAAACACGTTACAACATGAGATAAAGAATAAAATGTACCTTCATAAAAGATATTTGACGGAAATGCAGACAAAGCGGGATGCATTCGATACTGTACTTGTAAACGTATGGGTCGAATACCCAAAACAACTAAACGTTCAAATAACGATTGACTCAGACCAGCCCGTGCCGCTTTTTTACACATGACTACAGGACCCAATTGACAATGATCACCAACCAATATCAGTTGTCTTGCTCCAAGTACAACCGGTACCATACATTCCGGTTCAGTAGCTTGTGTTGATTCATCAATTAATATACAACGAAATTGATATCCACGTGATAGACGAGGATCACCGGAACCAACGCACGTGCAACAAATAACATCTGCATTTCTCAACAGATCACTTTCACATTTACGTTTTAATGTACGATAACGTTTTTCATCTGATGATGATAATTCACCAGTTTCATCTTTTAATTGTTGAAGTTTTTTCAATTCTGGTTCACTAAAAAATATAAACATAAAGAACTAGTTTGTCTGTAGAAGTATTTAGCAAAGAAATGAGCACTCTTTTTTTAATGCTTTTCGTTAGAAATTACAATAGCTTAAATAAAAGATAGTATGCGATAACACTCCATAAATAATCGAAGGAACATTCAGAGATCGTTTGTTGTGTAGGTTAAATTATCGACGAATACTAAACAAAACTGAAATAATCATACCTTTCGAGATTTCGAACTTGATTATGTAATGCCAAAAATGAAACAGGAGAATCAAGTGCCTCTCGAGATTTTGCACATAAACGAACAACCTTCAAAGCGATAATAAACAAATAATGTTGTTGTCATCAATAATTTATTTTAGAATTCGACTTACTCTTAAACCAGTTTTATGAATTTTTTCTGTCAACTGATCAACGGCAATATTTGATGGTGCGCAAACCAATACTTGACTATGATTTTGTTTGACAAGATGGTAAACAATCGTAGCAGATGTTACAGTCTCTGAATAGAAAAATCATCAGGTGATATAGTTACATTTTAGAACAAAAAACAGCTGCATCAAAATCATTACTTCCTGTTCCGGGTGGGCCTTGAATAAGGCTAAGTGGTCGTTGTAGTACAGTTTTAACCGCATATACTTGTGAATGATTCAATTCTGGAAGACCAGGTGCTGAAAACCGTTTTGGTAATGTCACTTTCATAACTACATCGTCAACTTCATGACCAAGTAAACGATGGTATAAGTAAGCTGACACACTGTTTTCATCAACAGCAAATGTTTTTAATGCAGCTTGCATTCTACATCAGACAAAAGCAAATGAGAGATTGTAAAGTAGGAATTTAATAAAATTACCTATCAAACGACGTTGATTTCCATACGAATTCGACAACAAAATTAGTTGTGTACTCAACTGGTGCACCTTGTGTTATTTTCAATTCGATTCCAACTTCTTCTCCATAATCTAGAAATAAAAGAAGTTAATCTTTATTCTGATAAAAGCGCATTAATGCAGTATTAAGTACTATTTGGAACTTTGACGACATGCCCAACACCAGACCATGGCTTTTGTGGATCACCAACGTAACGTAATCGAAGTTCATCGCCTGGCATTAAACGCATCTCTAAAATATATGGGTTAGTAATCACGTTATATGCGCGCTGTAAAGAAATATATATATGTATTTTTTTACCTTCATTCGCTTTCGGTAAACAAAAGTATGCCAATCGTTTTTTATTCAAACCCATATCCCATCTTACGCTGATATTATCTTGTGTTTGCGATTCTTTCAGTTTTCGATCATCATCTGCTTCCATCTTAACTAATGGACCAAATATGTTTTGATATTGATAAGCGTCTTCATATCTATGTGAAAAATTCTCAACTTTCATTCCTTTCAATAAACTTGAAGAGAAAAGTCTACCTTAATAATACTTGTTGTGGTTCTTCATCGATTCCTGGTTTTTCTAAATCTCCAATACTTGCATCTGGATTTTCCTAAAGGACAAAAAAAAGTGAATGAATCTTCGTTTGTATTCAGAATAAAGACTTAGTAGCTTACTTTCCATAATTCTTCAAGACGATTAATCATTTGCGCAGTTATTTGTCTAGCTCGTAACTGTTCTTGTTCGGACGGAATTTTAACAAGCCATGTTAAAAATGAACGATCTTGTATAAGTGGTTGCCATTGTGTTGGATCCCAATTCATATCTTTTAGGGCACTTTGACTTGCACAGGGCTGTCGACATAACAAAACTACAACGCTCTCAGCTTTTGCTGGTATGAATCCCAGTAAAAATGTATTTCGACATCCACAATTATAACATTCCAAAATTGTTTCACCCAATGGTCCATCCTTATGTAATGTTACTTCTTTACATTTAGCACGTACCAAATGATTTATAATATGACTTTCAGAAGAAAAAAATTCACACATATTCATACAAAATATGCTGTCAAAATTCAAGAGTGTCTACCTTCCAGATGTGTTTCCACGACCATTACAAAACCACTTTTTTGTCTGATTACACATCACAACTGCAGCTGGATCACTTATTCCACAATATCTAAAACCAAGAAGAATAAAGTACTTTTATATTAAAAATATTTTTAAGAATAAAAAACTCACGCGCAAGCATGTTTAGGTAAATCTCTTTCACAATAGCCTTCTTCTTCATCTTCAAATGGTAAATCTGTTAATCCTCGTTGAAGCGCTGTCGTTCCGTCTCCATCGAGACTTTCTGTTCCATGAAATACAGAATTCTAATTAAAAAACGATAAAACAGATATAGAATATATCAGAAAATCAAACTATTGGTAAAAATACTTTACCTGATTATGTGTGGGTGTGGCTGCACCATCAGATTGATTTTGTGTTGGCAACGTCAAATCGTCAAAGCCAAAATCTGTTCCTTGTGTATTTCCACGAGCCAAATCAGGATCCAAAAACACTAATGGATCTTTACTGACACTATACGGTTCGCGGATACTCATGATCTAGAAGAGAAAAGAAGTTATTTAAAAGGTTTTGTACCGTTCAGTCGACAAAAAACAGGTTATGACTAATACAATAACAATATCTGTCTAGATGAATAAGCTTATCGTGTTAATTTCAGTATACCCTAGTGGAAAAAAAAGTCAGATGTATTTCAATTGAATGAAAAATACTCTTTTATTTGAATTGTTGTTTTTAGTTGGGTAAACCAGATGCATGAATCATCATAACCAATGGTATTCATCATCTACCTCCGGCTTCTTCTATACTCTACCCTAATGGTGTCGGATCTCGTTCAGTAGCGTCATCTTCAAAAGACAGAATATTTTGTGCGAAATAGTCATTGATAAACCCCTTCCGCTTGAAAGATTTTTTGGCAGTATATTTTAATATTTTTTTTCTACCGGATCTTAACCAGTCAATGACTACTTGCTGGAAAGCAAGCGTCGATAACAAGGTTGCCATCTTGACGAGTTCATATGCAGTGGAAACAAATTTTTTAACAGCGATAAACAGCTTTTTTTCGTTTTCACCTGTCTTATTACTGTTTTTCTTGAAGCTATCAGTTTGTTTAACACCCGAAGATCCGCCGGTTTCATTCGCACAATAAAAACTCAGAACAACACAACTAAGATAGAACTACTGTACTCGTTTTCTAAACGTGCATTTCTTATCTGATTGATCAGTTGCTAATAGCTCTTTTTGTGATAATAAATACTTGTACATATCTAGACATAACATGACAATGATGAATCCATATGTGTAGAACGAAAAACCAATTAATCTTTTAAAACAAAAAACCGATAAACAGGAAAAACTTAAAAAAGCGGAAACTCCTATCAATAGATCTAATTTCTTTTGTATTCAGAATAGACAGACTTTACGTTTCTGACTTGACTCAAAATTCTAAAATTGAAATATAATCATTTTAATCGAACTATTCAAATTATATACGTACGTATAAGCCATTTTTATTTTTGTGGAAACGTTTAGAGCTGTTCGTCATCAGAAGAACGAAGTTTTAAGTTTAAACGGACTTTTAGGGACCAAATGGCTGTTTGTGCACTTTCTGTTTTCTGTTCGTATGTTTTCTAAGACGTGATTAGCAGTATCGCTTTATTACACGATCGTATTGAATGACTATTTGAATGAGAATATTTATCCTTTAAATAGCAACACTTCACTATGTTCATTGTTAGGCTATAGGTATCTATCTAAGAAGAAAGTTTTCACATTTTGCCCGCTAGTGCAACTCTGGCAAGCTTTTTTATATAGACTTCCTATTATTCAATTACCTTGCCGTCACACAGGGATTCATTTCTTTCTATAGGATTTTTCTTGCAACAAGGTTTGGTAAGATCTTGCCAGATCTTGTATAATCGTACAAGAAGCGACATGATTTCGCAGGATCAGATAAGAATTCATCAGATTTTACAAGTGTTACCTAGTGCTGATGCTACCATAGCTTCTTTCTTACATAAACTTTATAGACCACGCAGTAAGATCTTGTCACAAGATTTCATAAGAGAACGACAGATGTTACTTGGTCTTGTGAGATGAATTTCATCTGGGTGGGAGCAATGATTGGCTACGCATTTCAAAGTAGTCTCCTAGGAGTTGGAGTCCGTACTATCAAAAATATTGCTGTGGCAATTAACTTCGACCAAAATAGGAAAACAAGACTTTAGTTTCTTCGGGATTAGGGGTGATACTTTAGTTTTACTAATTATTACATTATCTGGTAAAAGTAATAAGTGTTTGTGCCTTATTACCGGTAAAAAGGTAATAAATCTTGTTATTATTTTACTTATTACTTTTTATTACTTTTCTTTGTATTAGTAATAAATAAAGTAATAAAAGATTATTACTTGAAAACGTAATAAATAATAAGGTAATAAGATTTATTACTTGTTTCTGGATAATAACTAATAAGTTTTATTACTTATCACTTAGTAAAGAAGAGTAAAGTGACACCTCTATTCGGGATTTATTATTACTTATTTATTACTTCTATTTTCTGTTCGTTACAATCAGTATTGCTTTTACAAGAACAAAAAAAATGCATTAAAAATCATAAATCTTCTGACGATACATAAAGTTTGTCAAGCTCTGAAGTAACCACCTTGAATGACCATCATCACAGCCTTAATGGGTAGTTACTCAGGAAAATCTAATTGAATGAAAAAAACGTACGCTTGATACGCTCGGGCATTTTGTAGTAGTAGCCTCGGTGTGTAAATGACTCATCAATGTTTCAACAAAGTTCAAAGTTTTTCTAACAATAAATGAAGTAACATGTCGGCGTCACTACTATCAAAAAGCAGTGCACTCGGATGTTTTTTAAATAACGTTTGAACGAAATGAACTGGAGAGATCCGGTTTTCACCATTTTGAAGTAAATTCATGTGGTTATCGAACGATCTAAAAGTGGTCTGAAAACTGTCAGTTCCTGCTGATGTACTTTGTGGGACAAAATGTCAGACAGTGCAATGAAAAGGATCCTAAATAAAATTTTTGTTGGAAACGTAGATTATCGACCACACTGAATCTCGTAGCAACCTCTGTTTTAATATTAAAATCGGTAAAAGCGCGAAAGAAAAGTTTTCAAGGGAATACGGATTTACAGCTTTAGCCGTAGTAAATTAAAAAACTCAAAGCGACATAATACTTGACCAAAATGCATCAGATTTACAGAATATACTCAGACAGGTATATATACTCTATACAAGCATCACTCTAAATTAAAAAAGATTTTTTGTTGGGAGGACGGAGCTGTTGTATGACTTTCCGGAAAACCGAATCGAGGAAAATAATTTTTTTGATCATTTTGACAATCGGTAATGCTTAATGACGCTGTGTTGAGTATATTCTGTAAGTTTGATACTGTTTGGTAAAGCAGTATTCGCTTTGAGTTTTTTAATTTACTACTTAATTCAACATAGACTCGTTAAGCATTACCGACTGTCAAAATGATCAGAAAAATTATTTTCCTCGATTCAGTTTTCCAGAAAGTCGTACAACAGCTCCGTCCTCCCAACAAAAAATCTTTTTTAATTTGGAGTGATGCTTGTATAGAGTATATATACCTGACTGAGTATATTCTGCAAGTTCGATGCATTTTGATCATGTATTATGTCGCTTTGAATTTTACTGCTTTTTCCATTAGAAAGAGCAGATTCTAGTTTACAAAAATATATAAGAACTGTGGATACCAACAAATTGGAAATAGAGATATTATTTTTAAAAGATAAGTCGTCAATAAACCATTTGTAAAAAGTACGTTTGAAAATGAGAACTACATATTTTGTTTGATCAGTTTCTTGTTTGTATTTAGAGTTTTCTTGACACATTATATATCAATATATTCGTCGCAATCTGCCGTTACGTGTGATACCAGAATGTGCTATATATTGCATAATTAGGGTGATCATTGAGGTTTAGTTGGAAAAACTTAAAAGGTCAAATCTGTGCAAAAATGAAGTCACCTATAAGGCGTTACTTAATAGCTAATAGTTTCTATCCTAATCAAGGTCATCGCGATAGTACATTCAAAGAGCTTTCATTTAATGTACGAGATATCAACTAAATCTTTTCCATCACAGAAATAAATTTAAATCTAAATCTAATTTAGAGTCATCAGAATGTTGAACAATTTCACATCAGTGCCATCACTTTTCCACTGGACGTTTTTTACTTTAAAAATCATAACAAAGTTTTCTTTCTAAATTCTTCTCTTGTCCTGTATGTACACTGCAAAACCGTATTTGAAATAAGTATATTAATTGACTATCCGGTACAAGAGGGAAATATTTCGCTTTTATAAATAGGTTATTGATAGCTTGTCTTTTAGAACTTAATATCTTTTTTTCCAACTGGTTGGTGTCCACTGTTCTTATATATTTTTGTAGACTAGAATCTGCTCTTTCTAATTTAAAAAGAAGTAAGTGTGTGCGATGTTTCTAGACTGAGACCTGAAGCAAACAAAAGAGAAAAAACTTTTGTATCATCCGTTATTTATTTATTCACTATCAAAATGTTCAACCAGGTTGAGGATGATGCACACTACATCATAGTTTAATGTTCATCTCTCTTTTATTTTCTTGTGATTGCTCCCTAATCTACATTCTATTGTCTACATTATACCTGGCATCTGCCTGCTTCTATATCATCACACAATTTCATCTAATGAGGTGAAAGTGAAATTAATACGCTTATCAAACATTATCAACGCTTAATCGTAACATAGTCACAACTAAAACAGGTGAAACTTTAATCGTTCGTTCGTTTAAGAGATATATAAAGAACATTATGTGTTCTCAACAGAATATAGACAATTGTCATGAAAAAAGAGACTAAGAATAGCTTCAAGCTACGAATTTTTTTTAAAAAGCATATTTTTATCACTACTATAAATCGCAGTCTACATAAACATATCGCGTTTACTTAAGGCTGAGCGATTGTCCATTTTTACTTATTATACTTCTTGTTCGAAGTTCAAAATCTATTGTTGAAATAGGACTGGTAAAATTAATGATAGCAGAGGCATCACACTTGATTTGTGAGTGATTGAATACGGTCGGCACATCTCATATTTTCAACTATTCATTGTCATATGTTGACGCAATATGATGTGTCATAGACTGATTGCGTGTAACATATTAAGAAACTGTTCATTTAGATAGGAAAACATTGTGACAATCACAAAACACATATATATGTCAATATATCATAAGTCAGGTGTTATCCTCCACATGTCGATATATTTTCAAGTGCAAAAGTATCATTTTGTGGAGAAGAAAGATAAAAAAAGGATCGTCATTCATATTAAAATAGCTTATTTGTAGAAGAAGCATAGGATCATTTCTGATTATTCGGATATTTGTTGTCGAGTGAAAAATAGCTTTTTCGATAATTATTGACTGATATTATCGTTTATATAGTGAGAAGTCAAGTTTTGCACGTGAATATGAATTGAAAGGTTTTTGGCACTTTTATGAAAATCGTGATCAAATTATGACACTACCAAAAGTTGGAAAAAGGTGATGAATATATTGAGTAAAATAATTTTTTCAGGAAATGAGAATAGAAACAGGTAGAATGCCTGTATAATTATGTAAAAAGTTAGTCTATAGTGGCATCGCAGTAGGGTATTTATCCTATTTATTGATATTAAGCTATTATTTATTTCATAATCGTGTGTGACATGATATATCTGAGAGATATCACCACATGTATGAGTATATTAATCAAATCAGTTTCTTAAATTCATTAATCGCAAATGATCGGAAAATATTATGTTTCATGTACTAGATATTTGTTTTTTATGTTTTTCAACGCTCGTTTTATGTCTGAATTACACAGACAAAATTAATTGTATTCAAACATGAACATAATGTCAGTAAATAATTTACTGATTAGACGTTTCTTTTGCGTTCCAGTTTTATTTGACATAAGTTGACTTAGAGAGGGAAAAAACTCAATTGAATAGTTACTATGGTAGGATCTTTTTCAAAATAAAGAGCAGGTAACAACAAAAAAGCCATATGTTCACCATATACAAAGATAAAAATTTAACTGACAATAAGAGATTTATAACTATGTTCAAATTACTTTTTCTTTTTGAAACAATTTCACCTTCTTGCCACTATTGTCTGATGTTGGAGAGCTATCAACACAATTTCTAGGGAATTATTTCTTTCTTTCCAATAGCTCTCAACAGACTGCATTAACGACGGATGTAAGAGGAAAGTGTAGTCGACGAGCATGCAGTTTTTCCCAGAAGTTTTCTATAATTGTCAATAATCTTACTTAAATATTCGAATTTGTTATCGAAGAAACAGTTCTTCGCGTTACTTGTCACAAGTAAAATAGATAAGAAAACAAACTTTATGTTCCTCTCCGAGATAGTACGTGAAAAAATCGTTCTTTCCTTGACTAAAATTCAAGTTCCTCTTCTCTGACCAAATGAAATTTTCTTCTATTGCATACAGCAAAATACAAAAAAAGAATCTACAATTACATCTGCAGTCATAATTGTTTAGAGATTCATCTTCAATGCGGTACTTTTTCTTCTAACAACAACCAAAAATAGAAAATGGGCCTATATTCATATAAAATGTCAAATGACCACCTGCCTTATACATTCTTATTATTATACACACATATAGTTATCTACTCATCCCTGTCATTTTAAATTCTAGGTTTTTAAATATACATTTGATAGGTCAAAGAAAAGTAAGAATGATCAGAATGAAAGATAACAAGTTCAATTACAAAAACAAAAAGACAAAATCGTTCAACAGCAGTTGTTTTTTGTGATGATGTTCAAAGTATGTGATGATAACACATATCTTAAAACGTTTCCAATCAATCTTTTGATAGTAACATTGTACCTGGAAATATTTTTGAAAACGGGGCTATCCAAACAGGAATAGTATCTCGTGAGCACGGAAATAGGTACGTTATGTCTTTTTCTTCTGATTAATATAACGATATGTTCTATTTATTACGTTTATCGTGTTTAAACAAGATCCAGAGAAAAGAAAATTTTACTCTGTATCACAAGTGGAAGTTTGCCATTGAGCAATAATTAAACCTATTATTTTTGACGTATATCCAAAGGCAAAAGATTATATTTATTAAGGAAACACCTGTCTAAGAAACTTTGCATGCAACAATCTTTATGAATTTTCACCATTTTTGACAATTAGATTTAAAACAGATGATAACAAAAGATCAACAATTTTTATTCGAAGAAGAGAAAAGAGAAAACGTATGCATGCTTTTTAATCTTCTTAATTAATTCGATTAAACAAATAAGAATTTTTTCAGTCAAAAATAATTTCACCAAATCTACTAGAGAAGTAAAAATCTCCCATAATTGAATAGGTCGAGTGTCAAAGACTTTTGAAGCATAGAGAATCAAGACATAAAGATATAGGTTAAAATCACTCTTTGTGAATAATAGAAAAAGTAGTTCTTGTTGAATGATTTTGTGATGTTGTAAAATCATTGCAAACTATAATATCATATTTTAAAATATAAGACACTCTTTTGCTATTTAAAATAAGGATTAGTAATTTTTTAGATATATTTGATAAATGAACTGATCATTCGCAAGAAAAAACCGATTACATTGAAAAAAAACAAAATATATAGCATTCTGCGTGCATACGAAAGACAAACAGCTTTCTCTACATACGTCTGTGTTCATCTTTTTTGTAGTTGACCACAATGTTTAATAACAGAATGTGGTAATGCTACTCCCGTGATAATCGAAGTGTCACTGTTCGTATTATAATTATGAACTATTGTTCTATCATGACCATTGTGTATATGTTGTTGTTCATGTTTTGTTTTTACTCCACCATGACTACCATTTGTAGAACTATTATTGTTATTATAAGTTGATGGTGATAATCTTTTGTAGTAATCGGCTGGTGCCGATGGACGATAATATGTTGAATTATATACTCCCATACCGTCTGATGGTGTCATATAATCAATATTAGTCAATGTGTTCGTATCAGATAGGGCATGTAAATGTGGCAGATGATCGATATATGATGATGAAGCTGTTGGTATGGGTGGCGGAGGAGACGAAGATGTTGAATCCACGTAAGGTTGAGTTCGAGGAGTATGTGTTGTATAATTATTGGTATTATAGTGATAATAATTATTATATTTTGTTGAATTCAACAGAATATCGTTATATGCGGCTGCTGCTGTATATGGAGACATGCCTGTGTAACCATTCAAATAATAATTGTTATACATTGACTTTTCAGCAGCATCCAAATGTAATAAATCACCTGCTGTTGGATAACGAATGTACGAATTATCGGTTGTTGTTTCAATAAAACTATGTGTATCTGAATAAGGATAGCAGCCATTATATCCATTTATGTAAGGTGTATAAGGATTCACGATTGAATGATCAAATGCATTGGATGAAAATGTTGGCTGTTTCAATAATTGAGGTTTACATTTTCGATTTCGTGTAGTATTTTGTACTTTAGTTGATTTATAAGCAATAAATTCGTCCTCACCACATGTCGATAAATTTCCACCACCACCACTACCACCATTCAGATTAAAACTTGTATCAAAATCGTATAAACACGGATAAGGTAGTTTAAATTCCGAGCCACGTTTATAAAATAGTTCTTGTCCTTCTTCATCTCTACAAGAGAAGAAACAAAACAGAAACGTATAAATTGAAAGTGTTAAAAATAGAGTAGTTAAAACTCTTACGTCAACGGTCTATGATTGGCAATAACAAAATCTGGTTTATTGCTTTTGTATATAATACGCATAGATGACTGTAACCACTGCCAATGACCATCTTTTGTTTGAACACGATAGCAGACAAGACCCGATGTTCCAGTTTTTAGTACTAAAAAAGTAAAATATACTAATATGATGATTGAAAAAAGTACAATGATACAAATACGTACATTCTTTATGTGCTGTTGAATAATATTTGAGATCATCAGGATGAATGAGCTGATAACCACAAAATTGTGATAGATCATGATCCGAATAGTTTAAAATTAATTTTCCACGTGGATCAAGTGAAATAGGTTCTAATGTAAGTCGATGTTTACTTTTAAATAAAGTTTCACGTTGTGGAATTTCAAATAATGATGGTGGTCCAAACGGACAAGCAACACCAAATAAAGCAAGTACATGTGAATCATCGTTATGTTGTGGCTTCTGTCCATGAAGTATGCCAATTCTTCCATCAATTTCAAGTGTCTAAATAAAAAACTTGCTTATTAATGGATAGAAAAATGATAGAAAACTACATACCACAAATCCTGATGTATTATCTAATAAACATCGAAATCTCACTGTAAAACTTCTTTCAAGTAGATGCGCATGTTCTAAACATAACAAAATACTAAAACTATTAGACAAACAACATTTAATTGTCATTCGAAAAGGAATTAAACGGTAGTGATTTCGAAGGAAGGTATCAATAGGAAGTGCTTGTATAGATAAAATCGGTCAGGAATCTTCTATGAAGATCGAAATCTGGTTTGAACATATATCGATTGATTTTATTATTTGCTAGCCAAACAAACAGTTTTGTCGTTTGAAGTTCTTGTACTTATAAGGTTACGTACTCATTCTCCTTTTTCATATACTTAACATTGGTGACAAAGATAGAATTCTGTCTTTATTTATCTAGATTAATCCATTAACTACATACTGGTTGCAGATCTATCTTTTTTTTGTTCAATTGACTAAACACAATACACTTCACTTCTGAATGTTTACCTTAGTTGGGAATACTGGAGAAAAGTGTCAATGTCAAGAGAATTACTTCTGAAGTAGACGTGTTATGTACGGTAATCCTCTTTTTTTTCTTCGCATACAGAAGCTAGACACTCAGAAACCAAGCCAATGATAGTCTGTTCTCATTAACAACAAGAAAATGAAAGTATCATCAAGATAAAATCTCACACAAAAAAACCTTCTCATTCTAATTAAAAGAAACAGCACATTTAACGAATTCTGACCTTCTCTTTTTTGCTAAAAAAAGATTTCAGCTATTAGTGATTAATTCTCTCAATGATGATTTTCGTGTTCCATTAATTCTATCCCTGATGAAATGATAATACTAGTTTGAGAATAGCTGCTATTCTACCTGGATTAGAAAACAATTGTGTTATAGTTATATCTGATTGTTCACTAGTCAATTTTCCATTCCATTGTAAATGTCTTTTAAATTCTTCTCGATCTTCAGAATGAATTAATTCAAATGCACTTTGATGAACGATATCTGACTAAAACAAAGACACAAAGTTATAGATCAAAAATATAATTGAATTGACACTCAGTATGAGTTTTAGGGAGAGAGAGACAAAAAAAGAAAAAAGATTAATTATATTAAACATAGATTACAATCTTGTTTCGACTTTCATTTGTTTTATTTTTTTGTTCAGACAGATGACTCTTCCACTACATCAACAAATCATTTATTCGGAAACACCATAGCGTGATTGCTCTCTTTTTTTTTTCTCTTTTTTCTTCGTCTTTTATTTCTTTCGAGTCATATACGATGAGATAGCAAACTGTTCATTTGTTGAATGGCTGTGATTAAACATATCAGAAAATCAAATCTCTCTAGTTTTAATGAAATTAGCGAGAAAGCGTAATCAACAAAAGATGAACTAACTTTTAGAATAAACACAAAATTGAAATGATGTGTAATAGTGGAGTAATGACATTCAATCTGTGTATGAATAATTATGTGTTACTATTAGACATGCTATACATCAAGTTAGATTGTTTTTTCTTTTTCTTTTTTTGTCGCGTGTACCATAATTTACAGCAAAAGTAGAACGATATTTAAGCTCAAAACAAATGTCACTATTTCAAAGAAATAAAAATATTATTAAAATGGGTGTACACTATTTAGGATAATGATTTGAAGAAATACATTGAACATAATCCATACGTACTTGATGAAAGCCAAGATATTGCTCAACTGTTTTAGATGCATAAAACAATTCACCATCACAATTGACAATTAATATAAATCCTTGGAGTGCCTTAAAAGTAATAAAGAGAAAAAGAGAGAGAGAGTGTGTGCAATGTTTATATTTATTCTCGTTTTTTTTAATTATACCTCTAAAACTGCAACACCTTCGGAAAATGTTGGATCGTGATAATAGATTTCTTGATAGATTGTTGATGGTTCAGATTGATAATGACGATTTTTCAAGGTGACTAAAAAAGTAAAAAGAAAAAAAATGACAACTTGATTATTCATAATTTCTCTTATTTCAAGTCTATTCTACCCGTCTATGATGGACATATTATTAGTCCACTTTTGGGATAGAGTCTGTGTTTAGTTGACAACACACAAGATTGTTTCTATTGTTAAATGTACATGAGTTATTCGTCTAGCATTTCTTCTTTCTAGATCTCTCTATTATCAATAAAAACACAGAATAGTCTCATTGATGAGATTCAAAGTTCAAAGTGTGCTTAAAATCCCTTCTCTCACCAAAACTAATTCTCTACACCAGCTTACATAGAGATGATGATCATTTTTTATTTCACTTTTATTTATTGTATGATCTATCCGTATAACTTTTCGTTTGTGTTACCTGTATCACGTCAATCACTTGACAAAAAAAAAAAAAGAAAGAAAAAAAATCTGAAAACAATTTGTTCAACATATTTTTGCGTGAGTAAACAAATTATCGTATGAGGATAGATTGAACGATAAATATAAAATTGAAAAAAAGTCTAAAAGTGCCGACATTTCGACAACTCACTATATAAATAAATAGTGATGTGTATATAGTTTTTAAATTGACTCGAAATATAATTATTTGTCAGATAACATCAAACAAAATTCGAATTATAGTCAAAGTCTTTCATTACATCGTCATGCAAGTTTTAAAATCTTCTAACAAACTTAGTCTACTCCAGTCTTAAAAATGTTATCAGCTATTAGATCGAATATGTTCATTTTTATCAATGGAAGAACGAATACGTACCTGTAAAAAGATGAAATCCATCATCCACATTGAGACTATACAATAGAAATATTGTATTTCTTCGTATATTTTCAAAAAACCGAGATGGAGAACTAACTCATTTAGACTTTTTCAGATATAGAAAATCTAGTTTTTATTTTTTAACAAAAAAATACGAGTTTTTCACTCAGTTCAGTTTCCCAGTTCATTTTATTTCTTCGAAAATTTGGAAAACGCATTTTTTCTTCATTTAAGTTCTTAAAACAATTCGAAATTTAAAAACAAAATAGAAAAATCATAAACGTCGAATAGCAAAATAAGTTCGTTGTAAAAGAAAAAAAAGGAAAAACAAAACGGAGTTTTTCAACTTGGCCTCTTCTGAAGAACTAATGTCTCAACTAGAGATCGGACAAAATGAAAAACTCAGTTTCTCTTCTTTCAACAAAAAAAAAACTGAAAACATCAAGTTTTGCAAGTTTTCAGAAAAACGCATTTTCTACTTTTTGAGGAACTTGTTTTCACAACAGTTTACAGTCTGACATTAAGGTTAAATCCAAAAGTTCTTGATACTATCTATCATGTCATTCTTACATATTAGCACAAATGATAATAATTTATTATTGTTAACATGGCGCTCTTTTACATCACATTGTTGATGTGTAAAATTGTGTTAACGCTCTCTAAACTGTTTATTTTGTCCAAAATTTTATTATTATTTGAAAAAGAAAGACGATAAACTGACTCTCAAGAATAATCCATGCTCACGACTTTAATCAACTTAAATATCTATTCAACACTCAATTAGGTAAATGACGTTTGCCTGGAGCATTAGAATGATAATAAATATCATAAAACAAATGTATAATGATGTGTTTTGACTGGATTGATCTTTAAATTATCAAAGTATTTGAGTGACAAGAAAACAGTACACAAGAATCATTGATAGTGATTTAGGGGTAGTAGTTATTGAGGTAACCACTACTGCCATTATTACAATGACAGTATTAAATATCTTTCTTTATAGCATATAATTAAGGGGATCATTGTTTTAGAAATAGTAAAAAAGAGAATATTATAAGAAATCACTAATTCTGGTTGACATGCGAACAACGGAAATCACTACCGGTCGTCTTCTTTTTCAAAACTATATAACAGAGAAAACGAGAGAGAAACAGAATACAAATGAACAGGAAATTAGAGTAATGTTTATTTCAACCTTAAAAAAGAAATGACTTTTTCTATATTTATTAGAATTTTATAAAAGAAGAAAACGGTAATTCTCAAAATAAAAAGGAGTATATATTTTTACAATATATTGATTATTGAATATAAATCTGCAGACAGAGAACATCTGGACTATGTTACTGTTCAATAGGGGAAACAAAATAGTATAAAGCACTAGTTTTTTGTGGCTTCTTTAAAAATTATGATAAACTTTTAGAAAAAATATTTTCCTAAATTTTATCAGCATGTGAGACATCTTTTTCGCATTTTTTTTTCCTTGAACAATAAAAAGTTGTTTTAAAATCTACGAATAGAAAAATTTTCAATGATAACTACCACTACCCTATCATTTCGTGTATGGCATGGTCGTTTTGTTCTACATTCTCTAGAGATAAAATTAGTTCATTTTTTTTTCGCAATGTGCTAATTTGTGTCAATTAGCTAACCGGACAGTTCGTTAATAGAAATTTACTAAACATAACAGCATGGTCTTTTGAGAATCACACTTGACATGAGGCGAGAAAGTCAAGAAAAAAAAACACAAAACGAAAAGAGAAAGAATCGTCCCCGTGTCATATTCAATGAATAGTATCCCACAGAGATGATGCTATAGAGTTGAAGTTAGATAAGTAACTACCTTTACTACGTATAGTAACGATCAATACATGTCCAACTTATCATGTACTCTTTCTTTCTGATTAGTGAGAACTAAATGTTTGCCTCAAGGTTTGGGATCAAAGTGTGTGTGTGTGTGTGTGTGTGTGTCTGTTTATTGTATATATAGACGCGTTGTACAGGTGTCTCGGAGAAAGTAAGGGCGGACGTAGATATAGAAAAACATTGAACCATAAAATTAGCGTCGTCTGATGTTTATAATAACGTTATTTAATAACATTCCCACATTTATCGGAATGCCAAAATATAAATATACACACATCAATTTTAAACCTATAATTCATTATAAGCTTGATTTAACAATAATATGTTCAATACAAGAAAAGGAATTTTTTTTGTTTTCTCGCTATTTCGTACTATGCATGTGCCCTGTTTATTATAATTAATTCGCATAGCTTTATGATTGGTTATTCTTAAGATTAACAAAGTCAAATAATCTGTATCACACAATAGACACATCTAAATGTATTATTTTCATGTAAATCATCCAACAAAAAAAGATTGATAGAAACATTTAGTATAATGATTCATTAATCAAAGTCCCACCTTTAAACACGCACAAGTAAAAAATTACCTTGAAAATAGGATTTAACTCGTAAATAACTGACAGCCAATCGTAATATCGATAATTTATCAAGTTTTGTTAAAATATTCTGATCAAATGGTAATAGACTGGCTAAATTTTCTAATTCACCATTTAATCTTTCACGATGACGTTTACTCGGATTAGATTTTTGATTTTCTTTCAATGGACTTTTGTAACTAAAACGAAAAAAAAAGTCAAAATAGAATATTTTTAAAAAAATAGTCTTTTTTGGTTAGATGATAAAAAGTAAATCAATGGAGTATCGACCAACAATACTCTTAGACATATTTTGCTATTTTAAAAAACCTAAAAAGAGTAGTGCGCTTGACATCGAGTAAAGCCTAATTAGACAATTTGTGACTTCAAACGCTAAAAACAATGGCAAAAGTTCTAAAAATAGGATTGAAATGAACTTTCTATTTTTTAGTCTTTATGATTGAATAACTTTGTTTCCTTGCTGTACTATCCTTTTTCTTCTATTAGAAACGATTGCATGTCGATTTAAAAGCACAGACTACAATAACTATTTTTTTTTCTGATTTCTAAACATATAGATAATATAAACCTCAAAGAAAAACAAAAAAAAAAGAAACTTTAATCAGTCTTCAGAATAGAAACGTAAACTCGAGTAAATTTGTCACGCAACCAAATATTAATTCTACTTCGTCTTTGTCTCGAATACTGAATTATTTATTGCAAATGTTCTATTAATTACATAGCAGAGAGAACATATTTCAATTTCTTTGTAAAAAGGTATCTTTATTTTCTGTCATCTTTAGTCACGTCATATATTCTAAAATCTCAATGTTGTAGAGAAAACTGGCATACAAGACGATTGAAAATAACTTTAAAAAAAAACATTTAACTGACAGTTTTACTATTGGAATACAGATTCAACTAATAAGAGACTAACCCTGTGTTTGAGATAAAATCTTCTCTTATTAAACGTTCTACTCAATATAAGCTTTTAAAAAATAGTGAAAAAGACTTGTTTATCTTATTTTAATCATTGACTGTTTTTATTATTATCAATGTAAAACTGAAGTTCTAAGAAATGACATTCCATTTGCGTATAGTATTTCTCAATAGACGAGTGTCTTTTTCCAAGATAAGAGTTTTTCTCAAACAAATTTTATATTTGTTCCACGAGTAAATGATATTTTTTTAAAATAAATGAAAAGGAATCTTAGTGGCAATAGTAACAGAGTGCTTGAAGTTGAGAAAAATGATCATCGAACAAGTTCTTAGACAAAAATAAACAAACACGAAGATTAAAAAGAATCAGAGAAATATGAATAATTTTACCGAAATTTTTTTGAGAAGTTCTCTATTTATAATCATCCGTACTGTTCTAAATAAATTTTCATTTTATTTGTTTCTCATGCAATGAACATACGAATAAGTAAAAATGGAATGTTACGTGATCCGTCCCTTCTATCATGATATTCACATGATCACATGCAGTAGTCGTAGTAAATATCCATTGATTATACATTAAACATTTCGTGTCATAGGTCTCTTACTTTTTTGTGTTTCTTCTTCGACGTTTTGTTGCGTACATGACCTGATCGCGTTTGTTGTTTCAAAAAAAAAGTCGGCAACAAAAAGCCACTTATTTTGTCAAAGAGAAGAAGAAGAAAAATATGTTTTTATTTTTTTTTCCATATAATTAAGATAGACATATATTTTTTAATTTGAAAATCATCATTATATAACTAAAGAGAAAATATCGTGTGATTGGTTCTATGCGTGTTGTTCAATATCGCTTTATTTTTATTTTGCTGTTTTAAGATTTGAGTTTTTTTTTTCTTTCTGGTGTGTGTATGTATGTGTGTGTGTGTACATCTCTATTTCACACATGTGGATCAAACATGCAAAGGAAAACAACTCACGAATGGGCTTCCTCAATTGCTCTAAAATAATAGAAAAGAAAACAGAGGAAAAAAAAAACATTTTTTAGTCAGTCCATTGGAGTTCTTTTCTCTCTTTTTTTTTCTGGCATAAGTTTTTGTTTTTCTTTTTGTCAATAGTTTATATACTTTTCAGAAACACATAGTCTAACTATTTTTTTATTCGTTTGTAGATGAAGAAACGTATAGCCAATGTAATTCAAGCCCGATATTTACATTCTTATTGAACGTTGATTGGCTTGTTTTTTAATACTAAATAGGAGACAAAATAGAATAGCAAAAAAAAAGAAAAAAAATGAACAAGTTCAATGAACTATAATAACTAAAAACATATATGAGTATTGTGAACCTGTTTAATGATGTGATTTCCTCATAGAGAAACTTGAATTTTTTTACGTTAACAAATTAGTAGAAAATTTATTGTGTAGTTTTATTTAAGTCCATCAGTGAGAACATACCATATAGATTCAGACGATTGTTATATAGAGAGCTTAGTCCCATTTATTCAAGGCAAAAATAAATCTTTATAGTTTGTCATGCAAAAATTTATACGAAGGAAAATCATTGGAAGAGGTTTTTAAAGCGAACGTACTATTGTTTTGGTTGGATATAATCTTAAGAAAATTGAACGTTGTAGATTAAATGTTGACAAATTAAGGCCACTTCTATTATCTATAAGTTACATACACGTATGATCTATTTTGAATTTAAACGGTCATTTATTTCCTTGGAATAAAGAAATCATTCTATATGATCGAAATGTCTTCAGTTTTTGCTGTATTTTCTTCTAACATTCCTAAAAATAAAAATAAACCAAAATATCATGTTAAGTCTTGTAATTGATCAGAGAATTGGTTTGAATAGAGGTTGGTTTCAATAGACATTGATTGATTCTACCTAAAAAATAAAGGGCTTTTGTTCTTAAAAATGAACTTTTTTATATATTATTGTTCGATAGCGAAGGACTGAAGCACTAGACAGAATTATTTTGAAATTTCTGATAAGGGTCTTATCCAATTCTTATATAAGAAGTGGTACGAAACTTACACGAATTTCGTAAGAATCAGATAAGAATCGAGTAAGAATCTTATAAGAATTTCGTAAAAAAGTGATAAAAATCGTTTATTAGACTCCTACAAGAATCATTCTCTATTCATTTCGTTCCAGTAAGATTTCATAGAAATAATTTTTTCTTCAAGTAGATTTTCGTCAAGCCAGAGTATTTTAACAACGCAATCGCATGTCTAGAATCCACTATCATATATTTAAAATTCCAGTGCACTAAATTATATTCCATCGTAATACACACCATTTCCATACTCAAAATACTATGCACCACTTATAACAGTTGTTGAAAACAGAGGCAGCGGAACGTTCCCATATGAGGTAAGGCTCGCGGTAAGAAAAGCAGCAAATTTAGAAAGTTTTTCGAGAAAGTGCAGTTTTCCGTAATAAAAGTTTTCGTAATAAGAACAAGCAAGCGAACAAGGAAATACTTTGTTGAGTTCAATTCGCCAAAATAAAATATCAGCTCGAGCTCCATGAATCCAAGCTGTTTTTACTTAATCTCCAAAAAAAGTGACGTTCCTAGCAAAAAGGCCAAAAAACGGATCAAGTTTGCGCTAGACTAATCAAAGTAAATTTGTTTGAAAAACGTGGTATATCTATATGATTAAAGGATCACTACGCTATATTGAACAAAAGACAATATATATTTAGAGGTTTCTTGACGTTTCTGATGCCAAAAGTTAACATTTTATCCTGATTCAGTCCTCTCTCCTCACTGCACATATCTCATGTTAGTCTCTGCGTTTAAGATCACTGAAAAAAGCAGAGTTTAATACACGCAGCCAAACGTCTTTTGGTCTTTTATTCAGATAAATGAGGCCTTTCTGTCAATGTAGCCAAGTATTATCTAAATAACATAGTGCTAAATTCAAAATTCTACATCAAAATGGGGTAAGGCTCAGCCTAACAGAACCAAATCCGGGTAAGGCTTAAGCCTTACCCAGCCCAGTGGTTCCGCCGCCTCTGGTTGAAAAAGATATTGCGACAGAATATAAAGACGCGATGTTTATATATAAAAATTGAGACCACTTTTTATCAAAAAATTTGGAAGTCTTAATTACATCAAACAAACATCAGAGGGCGGCCAAGTGAAAATGAGAGGGACTGCAAAACAGTGGTCTCAATTCGGAAAGACTCTGCCCACAGTATCTCGATAGGAGAACTCATGGATTGTCATGAACGACTCACTAGGTTCGAATTGCTGAAGGAACCATCGTGAGTGGTCAGAAAAAATTTTCTATAGGAATTTCGTAAGAACTCAATAAAAAACTAATAAGAACTCTTATCGCTCTCTTATGAAATTTTTATAAGATCCTTACTCGATTCTTATCTGATTCTTACGAAATTCGTGTAAGTTTCGTGCCACTTCTTATATAAGACTCTGGTAGGAGTCCAATAAGATTCTTAGCAAAAGCAGATAAGAAGCTAGCAAGATCCTTACCAGATCCCTGTCCGATTCTTATATAAGAATTGATGTCTAGGATAACCAGAGATCTTATAATGAGATAGGACAAGAAAATCGTTCCGTAAGATGATGTACCGTCCCATGGGATCCCATTGATCAGTTTTATTTTCCGAAATATGTCTCTTGCTCTTTTTCTACTGAAGGAAATTGTACACTATGATTGTTACAGAAATTGTTTTTCTTTCCCTCAACTAATTTGTTTATAATAAAAATTAACAGTTAGTTGTCTCTGTGCTGATGGAACAGATTCGATACTTCGTTACATAAGTCAGTTGCCATGACCGTATCCTGAGTTTTGACGGAGCAGATGACTGATATTAGAGATGTAACGGTAACGGTAACCGCTCCTTACCGGTTACCGTTACCGGTTTCAACCCGCGACGATTGCAAAAGCTACGGTCAGAGTTGTACATGTGCATATTATTTTTTGCCCCTTCTTCTTTGATACAAAATTTTTTATTAGATGTTTTCTCGAATCACTTCTTCTTGGAGAACAAATTATTGCTTGCATACCAAGAATTTGCTTCATAAAATAATCAACATGTAAAACAATAAACTTGAAAAACAAAAGAAATATTTGCTACACAATTCAAAACATAAAATAAATGTTTCTTTAACCACAGTTCTCTGTTAATCAACATAACGTTGAAGAAAAACACTTTTTAACATGAAACAATCAGTGTAACTCAAACTAACTTAAGAACTCATATCATTCACAGAACCGGTTGGACCGCTAATGATAACCGGTAACGGTAACCGTTAAACCGGTTGCGGTTAACCGATTGTCAATCGTTACCGTTGCATCCCTAACTGATATGCTTTACTCTGGCTAGAGACCTATGAATATTCTGACGAGATCCTAGGCATTTCCTATCAGAAATCTACTAAGATTTCTCTTAGACTTGTTTAAAATACCAACTAAATCCTATAGAATTCTAATGAAATCAGGAAGAAAAAACAGTAATATCTACTATTCATGTCAAAAAACGTTGAATTCTATCATTTTTTGAATATAGTATACAATGGCTTATCTCGCCTAACGTGGATTTTTACTGACTTTTTAAGATTTTCCCTGAAAACAAACATAGTCATGAGACTCAACAAGGATTTTAATGAGAGCATTGGTCCTGATCCTGGTTATCGAACGGTAAAACCGCAGTTTGCTGTTTGTTTTCGTTTGAAAGTTGTTTAAAAAGCTCATCGTTTTAAGTAATGATTGTTTAATTATGCACTACAGCACGTGATTGAGAAAAATACACGACAAAATAGCGTTTTCCTCAAAATGTATGATAGAGTATATCCCATTTATAACACGCGAATGCGTGATTAGCCGATAGTGATTATGCATTAATTAGTTAAAATTAAAATTATTAAGAAAATCACATCCGCTCGCTCAGTTGATTCTAAATTCCATCAACAGTTAATAGGATGCCATTAACGTCGATACATGACGAAGTTATAAGACTATCTTGAAGCGTCTTTGGGATATCGGTTAGAGTCACATGATAATGTAGTTCTAGAAAATTTACAAAAGAAATAAAGTTTTCTTTTGTGTCATGAAAAGTAATTACCGTCGAAAAAATAAAAAAGTACCCTAAAGCTATTTCTTAAATAACTGTGAAACGAAAACACGAGTTCGTGTTCTGAAATCAAGATTGAATCATCTTTTAATAGAAAATAAGTCTGGAATTTTTTCTTGAAGTAGGATCTTAGAAGGATCGTTAGAAAAATTATTCATGACAACATTTGTTACAGAAAAATGCTTTTTTTCACAGACAGATAGCTCACCTCAAAATGGGAGTCAAGTGGGATCTTAATCTAGCTTGGTTTGAACGTAGCATCCAACTTCTATGGAGTGCTATAACTGGTATCTGCTGATTTTCGAAAATCCAAAGATCTCTGAACCACAAGCGATCGAACATTCTCGAGTCTCGTAGTTACGTTTGTTTTTCGAAAAAGTTTAAAATATCTGTTGAAAATCTATTTTCCAAAGTGCGCGATGTATGGTCTATATCTAAAAGAGATATCAAAAAATTTATATTTCCGTAAAATCGCTTTTGTTGTGATTATTTTATGAGACCGTTCACTAGTTATTCAAGAAACAATTGAAACTAACGT